CAGCGGCGCAAAGGGAGCCGCCGCCGCTTTCAGCCGCCGCGTCTGCTCCGGGGGGCGCGGACGGCACCCGGCGATGGCGGCGCGGCGGAAGGGCCCGCGCGAGCTCGAGGGCGCCGCTGCCGTCGGCGGGAAGCGGCACGGGTAGGCGTGCAGCTTGAGGCGGTCGAACTGGAGCGCGTTGGCGAGCCGGCCGATGACGCCGAGGGGCGCCGCGGCTGCGGGCCCCGGCTCGGCAGCACGCAGACACGGAGGCGGCGCCGTCGCGAGCAGCAGCGCCGCCTCGGTCTCGAGCAGCAGCTCGTCTGACCACGGCGCGCCCGCCGCCGCCGCGGATTCCGAGCGGAGCGCGAGCTCCTGGAGGAGGGTCTCGCGATCCGGCACGAGGCACGCCAGCGTCGTGCCGCTCTCCCCTCCCCCGGTGGCGCGTCTCGCCGCAGCCTCCGCCTCTGCCTCTGGCGACCGCCGGTCCGAAACTTCGACCGGCAGGCAGCCCTCGATGAAGCGCTTCTCGCAGAGAGCCCAGAGGGCGGGGTTCGAGCGCAGCTGCAGCAGCGGCAGTCGACCGGCCTCGACGCAGCGCAGGAAGCGGTTCGTCTCCGCGGAGTACGGCAGCGCGAGGTCGACATCCTCGATGAGCAGATGCGTCGGCAGCAGCGTCAGCCGCAGGCACTCTCCGCGGCGCGGCGCAGCGGCTGCGAGACGCCCATTAGTGCCGCCGCCGTTGGAGGGCGAGGCGAGCTTGCTCGTGGACGAGCTGGATTCGCGCAGCCGCGCTTCCAACCTCTGAAGCATTGCGCGCGCGGCCGCCTCCTCGCGGTCGGGTGTCTCATCGTCCTCCCAAGAATGCGACAGCGCGCCGTTCGCCGTGGCGATCGACGGCTGACGCGGGCGGACGGCGTCTCGCTGTCGCTGGGCGAGCGTGCGCAGCTGGCGTCGCTTGAGGCCAAAGCGCAAAGGCTTCTGGTCCGACATGGGGCCAGGCAGGCTGGGAGAAGAATTCGCGCGTTCGGTTTACTTGGTAAAGGCATTGGGGTCACCCCTCGTTTGGCGTGTCCGTTGTATTTATTTATTTATTAGGCATTGGGGTCTAGATTCGGAGCGCTCGCCGAAAAGAGGAGTACGACAAAATAGCGCCCGTGATTGCCTGCACGCTGCCAGCACTGACGGACTCCATACCCGAAAGAAAGAGAGGGGAGCTTGCAGGAGAGGTGACGAGTGAACTACAGGCGCCTCCCTCTCTCTCCGGCTGCGCGCCTGACCGGTGCGGCCTCCGAGTCGGCGTCTAGCGCGCGCGATAAGGTTTTTGCTCGCCTTCCCTGGGACCCCGTGTTGCGTGACTCTGTGCGATTTCGGGTCCGGGGTTGTGCGTTTACGTGAACTACAGGTAGTGGGGAAGGCAGCCTCGATCGCCATACAGACATGGGTGCGAAACAACGACAAGACCAAGGCACGGGCAGAGGAGCGAGAGACGAATTTTACCCGTGGTGCACCTGTGTTAGTGCCAGTGCGCGCCAGTCCCGAGAGAGTGGCGAGCTCCCTCCAACCCACCCGCGCTAGGTCTCGGGTTTGACGCATGGGGTCACTCCCGCGAAACTCGGGAACTAGCCGGGGCAGTCGGAGAAGGGGCAACTCCGTGCACTGACGGTCGGCCGCCAGAAAACACGCCTGCGTGGATCGCGTCACACCAATCCTCGCTACCCAACGCGGCCAAAGGATATCCACCTCGAGAACCTCGAGAGAGAGAGTGTTACAGTTGTTGTCCCAGTCCCGTGCCCAGTGTCGTGCGAGAGAAGAACATAGGATGGATAGGGCGCCTGTTCACGGCATGGAGGGTGAGCCACGATGAACGTTAATGAACGTAGAGCCGAACGAGAGGAAGCCGGGGAAGACGACTCCGAGGAGGACGAAACACCAGTGGTAATCCCGTCGTCAGCTGTCACGATGCACCCGAAGGGGACCCCAGCGCCGACATCATCCGTGAAGGCACAAGTGTTCGAAGAGAGAGTGGACCTGAGCAACGACATGACTTGGAGGCAAATGATCGGAGTGGGAGTCAGAAATGTGGTCCTTGCGCGAGGGGAGCTCGATAAACTCCAGGGGCCAAATTATGCCGCGAGGAGGGCGGAGTTACGCAGAGAGGCGAGAGAAGCAGCGAGAGCAAGGCAGACGGCAGCGGCGTCTCAGAATGAGGCCGAGGAGAGCGATGAGTCAGAGGGTGAAACAGCAGGAGTACGAGAGAGAACGAGGACGAGAGTGGGAAGAACGAGAGGTGGCATGAAGGTCGCTGGACGCTGCGTTATCCATCGCGTCCGAGTTCTCCAGCTGATCGTTGGTTGTATTTGTTGATTGGTCCTTTAAATCTCCTGGGTTGGCGTGCCCCGAGAGCTGCGTCTGGAGCTCCCGAGGCACATCGCCACACGACCCCGGCGTCGGCGCTCAAACAGGCCCGAGGACAGGACACTCCCTGTCCACACATACAATCAGAGAACACTCGCGTGCAAGGGAAGAGGAGGGTGGGTCACGCGAGATTGCGCACGACTCGGACGATGGGGTTGAGCAAGCAGCCCGAGAAGCTGCGAGCCGACGGCGACGCGCTTTCGGCGTTTACGTGATATGCTTGCTGTTCCCCTCTCCTCACGTTGTTGGATAACCTACATAGCCGCTGCGCGGCTATCTCCGATTATCCATCGCGTCCGAGTTCTCCAGCTGATCGTTGGTTGTATTTGTTGATTGGTCCTTTAAATCTCCTGGGTTGGCGTGCCCCGAGAGCTGCGTCTGGAGCTCCCGAGGCACATCGCCACACGACCCCGGCGTCGGCGCTCAAACAGGCCCATCGCGCCGGCTGCCGGAGTGGAGTCCCAGGTTGTCTCATAAAGGCCCATCGACAAATTGGGGTCGCCGCCCGGTAGGAGGTGGCGGCCGTAGCTGCCCCGGGCGTGTAGTTGCTGCTCCAATCGCACATCGATCCCATCGCATGTGGCCCGAATGCTCAAATTGAACGTCTCGCAAGCTGTGGCAGGGCGATCCTCCCTTCGGTGGAAGGGAGATCTCTAGCCTCCTGACGAGGTTGCCCTCCGCCTGGCTGTTTGGCGACAGCGATTAACACCTCCGCAGTTGCGTCGGTCCGCGCCACAGGTAGAGACGTTGAGCTCGACAAATGTCGGAGCAGCAGGGGATGCGGTGCACCTTGGTACCCATGTCTGGTGTGGGGAGCCCGGTCGACCCTGCCCCCACCCCAAAACATGTTGCCTTCGCCTCGCGGCTCAGCGGTAACTGGGTGCACCTTGTTAGGTTCACGCCGGCCCAGCTCAGGTATGTCACGTTCACGCCGCCCCAGCTCTCGTCCAGTGCCAATTCCTGCAAGGGAACAGCCAGGACGGGCCCGCCACCGGCGGGCGGGCGGGGGGGGCGGGGCGAGGGCAGGGCGGGCTGACAGGGCGGGCGCCTGTACAGGCTCTGCTGCTCAGCTCCGCCACGCTTGTCATCTCGAGCTCTGTGATGCGTCAGAGGTCCATTACCTCCTCGCGCCCACCGCCCATGTAGGCTCGCTCGAGATGGCTCACAAGCCTCACAGGTGGCCACAAGGCCTCGATGGTGGCTGTCAAGCCTCGGCTTACCCAGACACGCCTCTAGCACCCTTTGGCGTACCGCTGGTCGCCACAGCGGTCGCCTCTTTGTGTTCGCCACGATGGGGTCGTCACACATTGTGGACGTCCGACTGTGTGGACGCCATGGCGCGGCCTTGGCCTCACGCCATGGACGCCACTGTGGGGCTCGCCTGGCGTTCTCGCCCGGTCGGCACCCTTGTGTCGGGACGCCACGTCGTGATCTCGCCCCTTGTGGTCGACACTGAGGTCGCCAACTGTGGACGCCAGCAGCTTACCTTTGGCTTGCTATTGGCATGCCTCTGGCTTGCCTCTGGAGGACTCGGTCATCCGTCCTCGGACAGCTCCAGCTGAGGCCCAATGCCTTGGCGGCGGCGGGTTGGGGAGCTGTCTCTCTGGGCGTCACGTTGCATACTGTCTTGCACGTGGCCCCAGTGGAGGTCTGCCCATGTGGGCCGGCCTCTTCCTTGCCGCACCAGTACGGTTCCTGCGCTGCCTGCATTGCAATCGACATTGCGGCGGCATGCGGCGGCATTGTGACGGAACGTCTGGGTGCGGCGGAACGTCGGCTCGAAAGGCCCATCGCCGACGATATGATGCGCCTGCCCCACTGGCGTGGGATCAGGGCGAGATGTCATCACGCGAGATTGCGCACGACTCGGACGATGGGGTTGAGCAAGCAGCCCGAGAAGCTGCGAGCCGACGGCGACGCGCTTTCGGCGTTTACGTGATATGCTTGCTGTTCCCCTCTCCTCACGTTGTTGGATAACCTACATAGCCGCTGCGCGGCTATCTCCGAAGAATTGGTTGAGAAACTGCGAAGAGAGATAGGAAGTGGTAGACGCCCGAGGGTGGGCGCGACGGCTAGCACCACACTCCTCTCCTTAAAATCCCTGTGTGGTGGCGGCGTGCCGTCCTCCCATCCCTCCCTTGGGTATGAGTTTTATTTCTTTTGTGTGTGTGTGGCAACGCGCGAGGGACGGAATGGCCACTGGGGCCACTGCTATCCCTCCAAATTTTTATTTCTTTCTTTACGAAATGCAAATGAAAGGTGAGAAGAGCCACATACATGTACTACTGCGAATGAGCGGCGGGCGCGTGGTGGATCATCCCCACTCACCCTTGTGTTTCTGCATCAACTACACTCTACTCGCCACCACCTCGGGTCCAGAGGTCCCAGCGGGAAGCGAGCGAGCCAGTAGTCGCGCCCGTAGTCGACCAGGAGCTCCTCGCCCGGCTTCACCTCGCGGCTGGTGCAGAACATGGTCGCGCCGTGTTCCGGTGAGAGCCCACTGCGCGGAGGCACGTAGAAGGAAGCGGTATTCGCGCGCCTCCAGGAGTGATTGATGTAGCGAAGCCACGAAGAGCGCGATGCGTCCTCGGCGTCTGTAATGTGGCTCTCGCACAGCGCGATGGCGTAGTCGCCGCTCGTGTCGCCCGCCGCTCTGCGCTGCACAAACTCCTCCGTCGGGAGCAGGTCTCCCGTGTACCATCCCACAAGCTCTCCGCGGCGCAGCCGCCGCCGCGCGAAGGCACCGCTGCCACGCCAGGCCCCGACACGCTTGATCTCAACATCTCGCCCTGGCCGGAGCCCGCCAAGGCTAACCAGCGGCGAGTAGTCGAGGGCGGTCAGGCGCCGCACAGCGAAAACCGAGCGATCGAGGAGGCCATGCGCCACGAGGCTTCCAGAGCTCGTCATGCCGGCGAGCACGAGGGCGGCCATGGCCGACCTCTCTCGACGAGCTGCGGCGGAGGTGTGCTGTCCTCTGGGCCGGCCTGTCACCACACACCCAAATCGCAGCGTGCCGAGGCGAGCGCTGCAAGACCAGACAGAGGCGAGCGCGAGAAAGAAGTCGCGCGCGTGGCGTGGGGCGGTTGAGCATCCCTCCGGGGGACCCTCTGCGCCGGGGAGGCGTTGTTGGAGGCTAGGACGCGTCCGTCGCCTTTTTCAAACTCGGGGTCCCACTCCGCTGCGCTCCGACCCGAATTTGGAGGGCCATGAAATTTAAGGTGTTGCTTGCTGCGCAAAAGGGGCGCACGCGCGCCGAGAGCTCTTTTTGGAGACCAGACCTTTCGATGGTTCATGCTTTCTATGTCTATCTATCATGCTTCATATGACACGACACGCGGTGGTGGGAGCTGGTGGAGCTGTCAGCTGATCGATCCAAGCGGGTGGGGAGTGGGGGGCATGGCTGGGCATGCAGGTCCGCCAGTCGGCCCGGCCTCTGACGTGGTGCTGCCGCTGCATTCGCTGAAGAAGAGAGGTGCGACGGCTTGATTTGGAGGCACTGGAGGCGAGGGTGGGGAAGGGAAGGCTGAGCCGGGCCGTGAGGGGCTGATGGCGCTGGCCAGCGCGGGGTGTGAGATGCCGTCGTCGTCGTATACTGCTGGCCCTCGCCCTCAGTTGCCAGGGCTGTGGGCTGCAGAATTGGCGTCTGTGGCGTCTACGCAGGCTCTGCAGCGTGATGGCTGGCGGGACTGCGAGGCCGGCGGCAGCGGAAGGAGAGGCTGGGCACGAGCCAGGAACAGGCTGGCCAGGTCCGCAGGTGGCTGCGCTCGGGCGAGGCGCGCGCGCACATGGCAGGCCGAGCAGGCTCGGCATATATGGTGAACCCCCGATGTCGCGATGGCGGTCCCGCTTTTCCGCGATCATTTCGTCCGTCCAATCGAAGGAAGCGCCAACGAAGCCTCGTTCTACGAGGGGAGCGACGACGAACTCTAGAAGCGGCCGCCGAGCCCTTCCCGCGGCGCAACCCTAGCAGCGCAGCGGGCAGGGCGGCTCGCGCAGCGCCCGCGCGATCGCGCACCGCGCCGCGCGCGCGCGAGCGAGCGAGCACACACACACACACACACACACACACACACACACACACACACCGACACACACACACACGCACACACACACACACACACACGCACACACACACACACACACACACCGACACACACACGCACACGCACACGCACGCACGCACGCACGCACGCACGCACGCACACACACACGCACGCACTCCCAGAAATACTGAGGAGCCGTGCAGTGCCTAGCTATATGTCTGTGTGTGCTGTGTGTCACACGTCACAGTGGTGGTGGTGCACGCCCTCCGTGCTCCGAGCGGGGCGGGGTCTGCCCGTCGGGTTGTTGCCCAAATCCCACCAGGGGTTGTCTGCTCTATTTATTTATTTATGTAGGCGTAAGAGGCCTTACACAGAGAGATGGCTGTGGGCGTGCCTCTATTCACTCGTCCTCCCCTAACACTCCTAGACACGTGTCTCAACGTCTCATTTGCGCGACTCAATTCAGCACGCACGACTCGTAGGTGGGAATCATGTACTTGATGTTGATGAAGGCGTCCTCGCCTACAGGCATGCACTCGTGTAAGCTTGGTCGCTTGCTCCGCCTGTGCCCACGCCCTTCTTGGCGGCGGCTGGCACCGCCATGCAGCTCAAACAGCTCGAGCGTCTCCGTGATGAGGTCTCCGAGCGTCTTTCGCTTGATCTGAGCGTAGTCGATGCCGTCGCCAAGGTTCTTGTTGTCGCTCTTGAACAGGTTGAAGATGGGCAGGATCTGGCGGTAGTACGGCACCAGCGCCTGCCCAAAACAGGGGAGGGATTGTCGGTTGCATCGAAAGCGGCGTTTGTCCGTGAAGGGCTGCGCGTGGGCGTCAAGGGGGCGAGGAAGAAAAGCCAGGGAAAGAAGGCGTGGCAGCGCAGGTGGGCAAGCGCAGGCACCTCGCCAATCATCTCGCCCGACACCACCATCTGCTGCAGCACCTTGAGGGTGGTGCAAATGACCTGCACGGAGCAGGGTGCAATGAAAAGCGTTTCTGCGCCTCTGCCCATTGACAGGCGCGCACCTGCCGGTCGCGAGTGTTGAGTGCGGTCTTGATCGGGATGATCAGCTGCGGGATGACCTATTCGACGACGCGGAGGTGACCGCCGGAGCGAGCGCGAGCCTCCGCCATGCAAGAGGGTAGGTGCCGGCAAGATCTTGGAGCCACCGTGCTCCAAGAGGTCAAAGATGCCCTGAATCGACAGGAAGCGGTACGGCTCCTCCTTCTCACGCATCCCGTCGAAGAAGATGGGCAGGTAGTGGTGGTAGTCCAGCTTCTCGATGTCAACCTGTGGAGTGGAGGGCGATCCGTCCAGCGTCACCCGAGCGCTGCAGAGGCTGCGCATGATGAGATGAGTTGTGTCGCGCTCCGCAGCAGCTTCGGAGCGGTCTCCTTGCAAGCCACGGAGGTCTCCCGCGCACCTTCCATCCGACGCGGTTGTGGCATCCGCGATGCTCGACTTGAATGGGCAGGTCGCCACGCTCGTAAAAGCGACGGAACTCGGTGTTTGGTGGATTTTCCCTCTGCTTGAAAGCGCCTGCAAGTCGTATGAGATTTGGTGTCGGTGATCCGGTTTCAGAGATGAAGGTTATCCACAGCCACTCGGCGCCGCAGGAGGGTGGGGACGGCTGCCCTCGATCCTCTGGCTTGCGGCAGACGGAGAGGGAGGAGGTCATGCCGCCATTTCCTGATCGCAGTAGTCACCGCCTTGAGTGGAGCGTCACGCGCGGGGGGGAGGGGGGAGGGGGGGAGGGGGGGGGGGGGCGTGATTTCGTCACCGGTGTGGCCCTTGAGGTGATCCGAGGCCGTGAAGTCCGACTTGAAGGAGTACCTGGTGATGTGGAGAGAGGACGAGCTGAAGTCGTTGGCTGGCGAGGCGGAGCTTGGTGGCGCTGGTGGAGCAAAGGAGAGGCGGCAGCGGTGACAAATAGGGTCGAGCGATATGAAAGGTAGGGTCGAGCGATAAGAAAGGGGCGGTGAGAGAGATGCAAGCAGGGAGCGTCCCGCGATACGTCCGATAGATAAGCTGGCTCTCACGTCATCGTCGCTGCATTGTACTCGGGCAGCGGCTCTGTCGGCTTCGAGATGACGTGGCCGCCAGCGCGGCGCGTGACGTCGCAGTCGTCAGTGCGATCAAAGCACGAGTTCGACTCGGCGTGCCTCGTTGAACCGCCGTCAGGTCGCCGGTACAGCTTTTGGCTCGCCCAGTCGTCCTGCAGCGCAGGGCGACGACTGGTCGGCCGTGGTAGAGCGAGCGCAGGAGCACGTGGATCCACAGCAGAGAGCAGAGCGTGGGCCAGAGAAGAAGGGAGTAAATGTAGGGGCTGAGAGGACGACGGCCTAGGTCTGCTGGCTACAGAGTAAGAAGGGACTCGAGGCTCTGCGCGTGCTGGTGCCTGGACGAGCGTGCTTGCGACAGAAAACACCATCTCCGCCGCCCAGCCTCCTGTGCGGGATGGGAAGAGGAGTGCTCAGCCAGAGTCGTGAGTCAGCTCGCGTGGGGCGGATGGTCAGAGCACTGTGCGCGCGCCGATGCTGGACTGCGGCGGTGTGTGTAACGATTGTGATGCAGAAGAATTTTTGTTTGTTGCGATTTTTACAATTTGAAATCAGAAAAAAATCCATGCCACCCGGGCCGCCCGGGCCGGACAAAGAGGGGACACACAACGGTCTGATAACGGTCCAAGTCGATGGCGGGTACCAACCAACCAGTACTCGTAAGTGATCTGTGATCTGTAAGGGTCCGCCCGCAGGCGCATTTTGTATACCGAGGCGGTGCCCGGTGCCGAGCGCAGGCAGAGCCCACAGGTCGGACCTTAAGACAGCATTGTAGATCCCTGGGCGAGGGTGATGGAGGGGGGGGTCCGGCGGCGGAGCACCCACCTCCTCCCGGCGTGCCGGGAGGCAGGATGTCATCCCCCGTTGATCCAGGCCGCCCCGTCGGGGGTAGACCGCTCGTCTAGCCAATCAGCCTTAAGCGAGCGGTCTGGCCGTTGGAATGGCCGAGTTTGGTGTGGGCTTGCGTCCTCGCCGAGTAAGTAAGTAAGTAAGTAAGTAAGTGATCTGTGATCTATCTGTAAGGGTCCGCCCGCAGGCGCATTTTGTATACCGAGGCGGTGCCCGGTGCCGAACCTGTCGGACCTTGAGACAGCATTGTAGATCCCTGGGCGAGAGGGTGGTGGCGATAGGTAGGCGTTCTGCTGCTAGGGGAAACCCGGAGCGCGGAGCTAACCCTCGGACGGAGACCCGTGTTCATAGTGGGGGAAATGGTGATTTTTGAATGAACGCCTCGCGCAAAACCACCGCTACCATGCCAAAGAAGACCCTTGTGGGCTATCCAGAACACCTAAGATCATGCCCTAGCTCTAAAGTGGGCCCGAGATACGCCAGCTAAACCCCGGATTTTTTCCGGCAGCGGGCCACACATGGCCGGCTACCCAAGCGGGTCGCACGGAGACACGGGAAGGCTGCCGCAAGCCGCCTCCGGGTGCAGGGGCCCGGCGCGGTGGGCGGGGGCAACGACCCGGTAGCTGGCCGCGCCTCTCCCCCCCGCCCGTCGCCGCTGCACCCCTTGCCGCGGCCCTCGTCGCTGCTGTAGCGACAACAGCCGCGGCACGAGGTCAGAACGCGGCCTCGGAGAGCTCGAGCGAAGGCGCCGACGGTGGCAGCCGTGGTAGTGGTTTATGGTAGAAGGATCCTGAGCCGTCGGGCACCACGCTCGACGTCGCCGATCAGCCGCACCTGTCGCGAGCGCCTGCGCGTCGGGCGCTGCCGGCTCGACCTCCATTTCCGGCGAGGTGTCGGGCGCGGCGGGCGGCTCCGGCGCCTCGGTGGCGACCGTGGGCTCGGTGGTCGCCTTGGGCTGCCTGTGGATGTTGTCGTTGGCTGATTTCTTATGCTTCTTGCCCGTTCGGCCGAGGCCTTTGTTGCGAGGCATCTCGGTACACGCGACGGCAGCACGACGTACGCGACGAGGACGGCTCCTTGATGGCGACCTGCAGCAGGACGGTGCGCATGTTAAGAGCGTGGTAGCGGACGCATCGGGCCTAGCCCGGGGCCGTGGCGTGTACCGAGAGGCTGGTCTACCGAACACTTTTGGTGCACACCTGCCCAGAAGAGCGGCCCGGAAAAATTTTCTTCGCAGGCGCGGCAGGACGCGGCCGAGTCGCCGAGGCTTCCGCCGCAGAGGATCGACGCGCCGCCGCTGCAAATGAGGGAGCGGCCGCCGCCGGAGCTGCTGCCGGGAGGAGCGTTGTCGAGCGACGGGGCGGTCTCGAGGCGCGTTGGCGAGTGGCCGGATTGCTGCGCGCGGATGCTCGACACTGCGGCCGACTTTCGGCGGACGCGACGGAGGCTGCAAGAGCACTGCTTGAGAGCAACCCTGGCTTTGCAGCCAAGCATTCGGTGCGCCCGGTCAGTTGCAGGATCGCCCTACGGGCGGTGTCAGTCCCATTTGTGGCACTCCCTAGGTTCGCTCTCTCGCATCGGCCGTGGAGTCGGCGACCGCTGGAGCTGCTAAGGACACCGCTGGCGCTGCTAAGGACACACTGTCCGCGCGACCCCTACGCGACGTGACTCAGCAGGTGCGAGCACTCGGTCCCCATGGGGACGGGGGGGGGGGCTCTAGCCTGCACTTGTACTTGTACTTGTGAGATATAGGCGCTGCCACCTCTCCGGCTAGTGACGGTCAAGGAGAACGCGCAGGCCCCACTGAGCGCGAGGCGCGGCGTTGACGCCTCCAACCTACCATACCTCCATCGCAACCCGGCGGTGTGAGCGCTCACGGCAAGTCCGTCTTCGGCTTCGCCCAGCCTGACCCTCGTCTCGCCCACCCCACGGGGACCCCTGCGCTATGAGAGCCGCATATCTGCTCCCACCTTTTCCAGATTCCAGTCAGTCTCCCCTCTATACAGCCTCTCTAAAGCTGTACCTCTAGAACCTTCCTGATCCTGTGTTGCTCTAGCTCTACTCTCTAGGAGCCGTATCTCTCTGAGTACTGTGAATCTGACGTAAAGACTCTCGCCCGCGGGAGCGAGCCGAGGTGCATGTGGTCTCTCTCTCAGGTGTGACTGTGTTGTGTGTAATAGACATGCAAACGAAGAAAAGCGGGCACCCTCACGTAGAGCCACTGTGCGCGATAGACAACATAGTGAGCGCCCCCGCGGCCTGAGCCCGGTAAGCGCGATAGCCGATAGACGTAGTCAGGGCGGAGGTCAAACTCTCCAGACTGCATGGGACGATGAGAGATGCTCTGTGCATAGTCACAGTCAGTACGTATGGTATCATCTCAGCTCGTCTCGCTACGCAAGTCCCTTCTCCTTGGACGGCGGCGGCGCCGTCGCCGGTGACTCCGCGAGCGCCTCGCCCGGCGCCGGCAATCGGTGCGGCTGGATGTAAAGGGACTGCTCCCCGCCGGACGGCGGTCGGGAGGCCTTGGCGCTGTGCTCCCTCTTGATGCTGCGCTCCTGCCGTCGCTCGAGCGCCAATTCGCGTTCGGTCGAGACGCGGGCCTCGGCCGAGCCGCGGGGCTCGGACGACGTCGACGCGACCGTCGCCCGCGGGACGACCGCCTCGGGGTACCCCTCCTCCCCCCGCCACACCCAGGCGCTGAACGCCGCCTCTGTGGCCTCCATCTGCTCCGTGTAGCCGAGGTCGGCGAGGCCGGGCGGGAGGGGCGCCACGACGACGCGCGCCTCCGTCTCCTCCCGCGGCGCCGACGAGTCCGCCTCCGCCTGCCCGCCGCCGCCGCCTTCGCAGCCCGGCCCGAGCAGCGCTGCGTGCACCGCCTTGGTCGCGTACACCTGCGCGCGCAGCGAGAGGAGCTGCACGGGCTCCTTGAGGCCCATCCCGCCCAGGGAGAACAGCTCCGCGTCGCTCGCCGCTCGCTCGAAGGCGGACGGCTCCCCGACCAGCGTGAGGAGCACCGACCCCCTCCGGATCTCCTTGAGCTCGATCTCTGCGTGCGTCGCGCCGTACCGGCCGCGCAGCTCGTCCGCGAGCGCCTCGCCGTTGGCGCGCGTGATCTCGAAGCCGTCCCGCTCGAAGAGGACGATGCGCCACACCGCCGTCAGCCGGTCGATCTCGAGGTCAGAGTCGCGGAAGGAGGAGAGGCCGCACTTGCGCCGCAGGTAGCCTCGCAGGTGCATCTTTGCGCGCGCGAGGCTGTCGGAGTCCTCGTCGGGCGAGGCGAGGGCGGGGAGCTCGAGGGAGAGGCAGAAGGGGAAGCGGGTGCTGTCGTACAGCTCGGGCACCTATCGCCGCAATCATGACACGCTCAGCTACATCTCGGCTATAGCTCGGCTACAGCACGGCTACAGCTCAGGGCACCCCGGCGGCGACCAGCCGGATCCCACTGCTCACCACGCAACTCTCCCCGCCCTCGGACTCGTCCGGGTCACGCAGCGTGAACTTTTGCGAGCGGGCGGGCCCGCCGTCGCGCGCCACGACCGGCTTGGTGTCGGCCGTCACGGCGAAGCGGCCGGCCTCGAAGGCGTCGCGGTCGGAGCGGCCGAGCAGAAGCGAGAGCCAGACCGCCTCCCCGAAGATGCGCGCCGCCTCGTCCTCGACGCGGCTCCGCCAGCAAAAGATGCGCGCGCCGCCGCGCGCGTGCAGCGACTTTGCGAGCGAGGCGGAGTGGCACGCGTTGAGGACTGCGCGCTCGAGGCAGGCCGGCGCGGCGAGGACGACCGGCTCGAAGGTGACGACCTCGGGCCGCGCGCCGCGCACGAAAGTGGCGCAGCCCTTGCGCATGTGGCTGGCCATGTGCAGGTGCCTCACGCCGCGCAGGACTGCGGACAGGTCGCCCGCCGCCGGGTTCTCGTGCACTGAGACGGGGCCAGGGAGCAGCTCCTGGAGCGAGTCCACCTCGGCCCTCGCCTCGGGCAGGCTCGCGCCGGCGGTCACCGAGATGATGACCGTCGGCCCAGAGTTTTGGTTTGCGCTCTCTGCAGCAAAGGGGCCCGGAGAGGGGCGCTCGGAAAAGGAGGTGGCGAGGCTGGCGGAGAGGCTCGAGTCAGAGCCGGAGAGGTCGGTCGAGGTGGACGAGTCGCCAGAGGCCTTGCGAGATACGCCCCCCACGGCGGAAGTCTCTGGCAGATCCCTCTCGTGAAGCTGCCGAACAAGTCGCTCGAGGTCGCTGTATGCCGCCCCGCTGATCACCGGGGGCGCATTCCAGTCGGCCGGTTTCTTTTTGATGGCGACGCACGCGCTCCGCTTGGCGCTGCCGCTGGTCGAGCGGCTCGAAACGGTGGCCGAGGCGCTCAACTCTGAGCTGGTCCGGGCCATGCCGGGACGCTCTTCCTTCGCCTTGACCTGCCCAGCCCAGAGCGATGGCATCGAGAGGTTCTTCCAAAGAGGCATGGCAAAAGGCCCGGGCACAGACACTGGTCGTTCCTGACAAGCAAGGGCGTGCCTTGTACATCTGCTCGGTTTCCTGTCTTTTTTTGTGCATGTGACCCCTCGATCGTCTCGCCCTCCCTCGCTGGTGTGTTCATTGGGGGGGGGTCATAACAAACACGGTAGAGGATCGAGGTGCACGCTGCCGAAGCAGTGTCGAGAGAGAGGAGAGATTGTTGAGTGTCGTACCGAGACAAACCGCAAACAAACAGAGAGAGATTTTTAGCAATACCAAACAACTCTAACACTCACACGTAATTTGGGGCCTGGAGCCCTGTTCACGCGCGCGCGAGACGTGCAGACAGGGTTGCCAGGTGAAGAGCGAATGGCGCGGTTCACGCCTCGCACAACAGAGAGAGAGATGCGCTCTGCATGGTGGGACATAAAAGAGAGCGAGTACTACTTGGGCGAGTAGGCCGTGCGGTCGACGCTGCCGCGCGCGACTTTGCGCGCGAGGCGGCGCAGCTTGAGAACGGCGGGGTGGGCGAGAAGCCGCCGCCGAACGTCTCGTGGAGCAGCAGGTTGAAGTTGTTGCGCTTGACAAAGATCGCGTCGTGGTAGAAACCGCGATGCGCCTTGACGTAGCCGTGGCCGGTCTTGTGGGAGAAGGGTTGGCCGGGCAACAAACACCTTGGAGCACTTGGAGTGCAGTCGGCAACCTCACATCCAGGGCCGGTGAGCTGAGAAGCGCATCCAGCGGGCCGGATGATCGGCATCGGGCTACGGGCTAGAGAGCCCTGACCCCTAGCTAGGGGGGGGGGCGCGCATTCGCAGGGCAAGGGCCTTAAAGTAAACACGGGTCTCCGAGGGTTAGTTCTGCGCTTTGGGTGTCCCCTAGCGGCGGAACGCCCCCTCTACTCGGAGCTAAAGAATACTCTCCGAGGGTTAGCCCCGCGTACCAGGTTTCCCCTTAACTGCAAGGACGCCCCCTCTACTCGGAGCTAGTGGACACGGACACGACACCTAGTGATACGAGAATACGTACCGCCCCCACGCAACTACTCGACGATAATACGAGAATACGCAGCTGCGAGACGCCTATAAAGAAACAGCGAGGTAAAGTTCGGCGGCTCTGATAAACCGAAAGTTGTCGTAAAACGCGGGCGAAAGCAAAGCAGAGGGCGGGCGCTTTCTGCCGCAGCGATGCCCGCAGCCTGTCGAGCAGCTTCCGCGGCGCACATGCGCCGCGGGGTTGAACGACAGCCGCGCCTCTCGAGCCACCCGTGCCACGCGCGGCGACGCGCACCCTGCGCGCCAGTCGGCGCACTGGCAGTACTGCACCAGCCAGCACGGCGTGGAGCAATGCATCCAGGGCATTGTGTTGGGCGCCAGCCAGCATGCCTCAGCAAGCAAGGGTGTATCTGCTCGGATTTGCAGGTGTATTTTATTCTCCGGCATCATGCAAAAACCTGACCGGCCCCTGCCCTGCCCCTACCTACCTACCTACCTACCTACCTTACTTATGGGGAACTAAAAAAGAAATCACGGGCTGGGTGAAGGTGGGGTACTATACCAACTAAAGTGAAGAGAATTAAAAATCTCCCCCCTAAAGTGATGGCTGGTGGTACTATCCTGCAACCACAGTCCTTCCTGTGACATGGCAGGCCACTCTCAAGCCCTACAAGCACCAGATCAAGAGAGAGAGATTTTTATTAACCAACAAGAAATCACGACTCTCACAGTGATTTGGGCTCGGCAGCTTGTTAGCCCTCAGCCGAAGCTGGGGCCGGTCCCGTAGCCGAGAGAGCCCGCGCCGATGAGTTTGACGCGGTCGGGGGGGCCTGCGGAGAGGCCAGCGAGGTGGCGATCGCTGTACTTCATGGCGCCCTCAAAGTGGGGCTGGCTGACAAGCCAGAGGTCGATACTCTGGACGACCCATAGGATGCCACGAATGCCTGAAGGAGAGGGAGGCGAGGCCAGAGGCAGGCTCAGCTGCTCTCGGGTGATCCCGCTTTGGAGGCTGAAGGACCCGATGGTCCTGTCACATTCGCGTTCCGAGTCGTGGGGGTAGAAGAATTCGAGTAGAAATCGAGTCAGCACTTCCTTGTAGTACAGCGGACTGCCAGGCTCACCGGCAGCATCCGCAGGGAGGCAGCATATGAGGCACCAGTTTTCTGGAGAGCTCAGCAGCTGCGGCCGCGGTGGCAGAGTCGGCCGCGGTTCGAGCGAGCAGCTTTTGGCTGCGGGTTCGAATCGCGGAAGGCTCATGCCCTCGCGGAGCGACGCGGGTCGCGCGGCGTGCGCGTGTGCGAAATGCGACAAAAGACGAAAGACGCCAGGCGCCTGAGCGCTGTACGCCTGAACTTTTGTCGCCGCAATCGCCACCGCCGCCATCCTGACGAGCAGCGCGAGCGCGCTCGTCGGCGGCCAGCCGTCGCGGGCCGGGCCGAGCCCGGCCTCAACCGGCCGCGCCGCCGCAGCAGGCCCGGAGGCCCACATGGCGGCCGACCAGCTGATAAGGAGCTCTCTCTCTTCTTTCCAGATCAACGACTTGGGGAGGGTTGACATCGTGATTTGCGCGGAAAATTTCTTTTTCTGCTGTGAAAATTCCGGCGTGAGAGAGGGGAAAACCCGACGGGAGGGCCCAGACCCTACCCTACCTACCCCGGCATGATGCCCGGCCAAGCAAAAATAAAACACACCTGGGATTTGCTGTCTTTTTGTGCAGGTCAAGGCTGTTCTACCAGTACCAGATGAAGGACAAACAAGGTGCGCAACAAGCTAGCATCCTTTCAGCTCTCTTTGATCGAAGCAAGAAACAAGAAAATGACCAAAAAAGAAAACGAAGCACATTCACACATACAATGGCTCTCATCATCAGAGCGCTGTCCTTCGCCGCCTGCTGCGTCGCCGTCGCGGGCTTTCGCGTGCCGGCGGCGGTGGCGCCGGCCGCGCCGAGTCGCACCGCCTCGACCCGCGCCGTCGTGCTCAGCGAGGCTGAGTGCGCGATGATAGACCTCTCGACTGATGACCCTGTTCGGGTGGCTCAGATCATCAAGGGTGCACGCTCACACCGCTGCCGCCCACGCCGCTGCCGCCCACTCGCGCCACCACCCTACCCATCCCTCACGCCACCGCCGCCGCGCACCGACCTGCTCACGCCACCGGCGCTGCGCACCACCATCACCACCAGGCGCGTGGATGGAGGGCGGCGTCAAGCGCGGCCTGACGGGGAGCGTGCTGGTCCCCGCCGAGAACACGGTCACGATCGTAGCCAAGGGGCCTCGCAAGCGGCTCGACTCGTTCGCCGACTGGCTCGAGACGACCTCGCAGCTGGTGTCGAAGGTGTCCATCGGCGAGGCGTGCGCTCCGGAGGACGTCGAGCTGACGAGCAAGTTCGAGATCGCGGCGGTCGACCCCGCGCTGAGCACGCCGTGGCGCGAGTATCTCACCCAGGCCCGCCCGCGTCTCTCCACACCCACCCGTGCCGCGGCGGAAAAGATGCGTGGCCGCCACTCTGCTCTCAGGCGACCATCGACGTGAAGAGTGCGGCGGGCAAGACGCACTCGAGCGACGAGGGCCTCGCGTGACGCGTCCTGCGTCGTCCTGCGCCGCGACCTGCGATTTTTGCACACACCATTGACTCATTTGTTTTGCCCTTGCATGCCGGTGAACACATATTCGATATTGATATGCACATGCACAGTGTTTGCGCTGCATCGTGCATGCAGTCTCATGGTGCCCTGCGCCTGCCGTGTGCTCCGCGGCTTTGAATAACGACACAATACATTGCGTGGCGCGGCGTGATGGGGTTGGGGCATCCATGGCGACACTAAAGCACGCTAAACCTAAAGGTCAAAGACTGAGGAGAGACACACACCGCCCGCGGCACCATACATGACCCCGCGACATAAAAACGGATTCGGCGATTGGGGCCGAGCGTTTTTGATCTCTCGGTCTGTGGGGGGCCGAGCCGCCTCGGGGTGGCGGGCGGGCGGGCGTTTTGAAAAACAGAAAACAGAAAACAAGGGGGGGGCCGGGGCCCCAGGCCCCCCACTGGGACTCTGGGAGTAGAAAAATACGCCCAAGGCGCAAGGGGGCCAAGGAGGCGGCGCGGGGAAGCAGCATCAGGTGAGAGCAGGAAGGATGGCGTTTAGGGTCGGCTTTGAACAAGGGTTTCCAGGTTTTAGATCAGTATTGGTGTCGGCACACATCCCCACATGAGGTCAGCGGCGCGCAGTGCCTCTCTCGCAGGCTGATTTTGGCTGTTTTCGAGCTTTGTTTTTGTTTTCAGACTAGGGGGCCCGACCCCCTCAGAGGCGGCGGGCGGGCGCCCACACGGGGGCTAAGCGGCCGGGGGCGGCGCGGTGTCTAGGGCCGCATCAGCACGTGAAGTTCAGGGCGGAGGGTTCGAAGCTCGGGGAGATGCCGGCACTCCCGGCGCGCTGGCGCCATTGCGCATTGGCTGCGCGAGTGGCTCGGTGAGGTTCTTGCGGTGCGCACCGACCTGGTGAGTCGGCGGACGCACAGGAGCGGCCCAGCGGTGCGGAGCCGCCCGTACGACGGCTTCGCTCTAGCCGCTGCGGGACACGCCAAGCTCTGTCAGCTCGAGCAGCTGGGAGGTGCCGGGGCGGGGCCCGTCTGGATCAGCGTGCCACGCTGTCTGACGGGTTCACTCCAAGGGCGGCGCGACGGCTCGGTGCTAGCCGACTGCGTCGGCGGTGAGGACGAGATTGAGGGCGGGAGCCGGAGTGAGGAAGACGAGACGGGGCTACCGCATGCCGGGACCGAACTGATAGCTCGCCCCGTTGGGTGGAAGACTAGGTCTAGGCCTCTGGGAGGGAGACCGAGCGAGCACACATGAGGTGTAACCGTGTACGTGTGTGGAGTATGGCGTTGTGTGTCCGTGTTAGCTCCGAGTAGAGGGGGCGTTCTGCAGTTAAGGGGAAACCCGGTACACGGAGCCCTCTCGGAGACCCGTGTTTACTTTGCGGCCCTTTCCCTGCGAACGCGCACCCCCCAGGGCTAAGCGCGCAGTACGAGAAGCGGGTGCTGGGCTTAATGAATAAATAAGAATAAATAAAAAATAAATCGAGCAGTCATCTCCAGGAGAGATAGGCGACGCACGAACACAGAGGCACAGTGCGCACCCCGCCCCGCTCACAGGGCGTGTGCATCACACAGGCGTGGACTTCTGGGATTCCGATAGTGGCTGGTGTAATACATAAAACCCTCTACTGTGAGATTGAATAAACAAAGAATCATTGAAAATCAATAAATAGAGCAGTCATCTCCAGGGAGAGATGGGCGACGCACACGAACACAGAGGGACAGTGCGCGCACCCACCGACGTTCCATTTCGCATTATGTTTTCTCGCTCGCCGCGCGTGGCACATGGCACAACACGCAACGAATAAAGCAGCAGCTGAGAGCAAGAATAAATAAAACGGTCAAACTCTGCTCTGAGACGAGATGGGATTTAGGGACATGTGTCCCCGCCCTGCACGATCTTGGTGTGAGGGATCTTCAATCCGTGTCCCCTCACCCCTCGTCACAACCCGACACGAAAGAGCGGCAAGAGTTGGGGCTGCGGCTCTACGGCTGCGGCTACGAGAGGGGCCGCGGGGGGGTCGCGGGAGAGCCGCTGCGCCGCGTGGACGCGCCTACACCGCTCTTGCTCCGCTCGCCACCTATCTCGCAAAGGTCCAAAGCCATATCCACCACCTCTCCTGCACCTCCCCTCCGGCTCGTGTCCTCCGGCAAGTCCTTTCGCCGTATCTCGCCATCCGCCACCGGAAGTCCGAAGCACGCGGTGTATTCTTCTTATTTTGGCAGCCACTCCCAGCGCAGCACCCAGGGGCACTCTGGCCCACAGTGACGCAAGGATCCATGTCACGTGGAGGGGCGCAGAATTATTTTATGTATGTAAAAGAGGAATGCAGAAGATTGGACAGGGGAGGGACGCGTCCAAGGGGGGAACCAACGGAGGCTTGGGATTTTGCATCTCGGCTGCATCCATGGGCCAGGGAGGCGAATGTAGACAGTGAGCGGCTGACGTCCTCGCGGGCGTGGCTGAGTACAGCCGACACTACGTGCTGCGGCAGCCTGCGGAGTCGCAGGAGGCGCGGTGGAGCGGCTGCGCTTGGACGCGACGGCGAGGCTGGCCGGGCACGCTGTCGTCGAGAAAGGCACGCACGTCGAGATCCTGGGTTCGCAGAGGAGGGTTCGTGTGGATGCGGTCGAGTACGACGGCTACCCGGACGCCGAGCGTCTCCTCTCGTTAGAGGAAGAGACGTGGCTAGGCAGGTGACGCTCGGCGCCGGCAGCGCGGCCCCTAATACCAGCGGCGAGGCGAGCTCACTGGAGAGCGTGAGCCGTGGCGTGTGTGCGGGAGCCGCAGTGCGGAGAGAGCAAGCGCGAGACCGAGAGACGGTTCTCACTCACACCCAGAGCCATCCGCTTTCCGGCAAGCAGCATCTCGGGCTCTGTGTACGGCTTTATTGGCGCAGGCGCCTTATCGGAGGAATTCTCGCACGACTTCGAGCACATCGAGATTCGCGAGACGCAGCGGGTCGGCGCTCGCGCCGCTCGCCGCCTCCACGTCGTCGCCTGTAGAGATAGAGGGTCTTCTGGGAGGGTGCGTGGGAGGTCCCTTTCCTCTGTTTCGCGCGCCATCGCGGTCCGAATCGAGTTGCGTGCCGCCAGACTGCAATCGCGTCTGGTCGGAGCTCTCCCGCTCCTCCGCCGCCCCGCTGCTCGAAGGCAAATGGAACGGTGTCTGCTGCTGCGACTCCGCTCGCGCGGGCGGCATGATCGACCCGCTCGCGCCCTGGGAGGCCGCCGCAGCGTCTGGGTGCGACGGGTTCGCTCCCGCGCTGCTTCCAGAGCGGCCGGCAGCCGCGTGCTCGTTCGGCTGCCACTGCGTTACAGCCTCGTCGCCTGCCGCAGGGGAGCCACCGCCCCCAGAATCGTAGCTCTCCTGCCGCGGGCAGGGAGGGGCGGCTCGGGCAGGAGCGGGCGTGTGCGTGTGTGTGGGGGGGGAGGGGGGGTTGGTGAGGGTTTGTGAGGGGGGAAGCCCCCTCCCTTCGCGCTCCTGCGAGGGGTGGCTCCCCTCCCCTGCCATGTGGCTCCCCTCCCCCGCCGCCGCCGAGCCTACAGCGATGCGACTCGGACCCGTCGCTCTGCCGCGAAGCTAGCCCCTCTCCCCCTCCGCCTCCCCTCGCCAAGCCGCGTCTGCGTCCCGAGAGGCGGCTGCGTCTCGCCCCACTGAGAGAAGCCGCCCAGCGTGCCGACGCCCCAAAGCACGGACTGCGAGAACGGCGCCTGCGTCGCCGCGCCGCCCTCCGTAGACATGTCGGCCAGGGCGCCAGCCTCGCCGCCGCCGCCGTCGCCAGACGAGGCTGCAGAGGGAGGCTGCGAGGTGCGCGTGGGGTGGGCCTACCGATGGTCGGTACCGATAGGCGGAGGTGGTGTGCGATCGGCTGGAGGGGGGGGGTGGAGGGGAGGGTGGAGGAGAGGGCGCGGGACGGAGGGGAGGAGCAAGGGGGAGGGGGGGGGGGGGGGGGTGAGGGGGGGGGTGAGGGGGGGGGGGAGGGCAAGTTCCGCGCTCGCCGGGGTACATCTCGCCGGGGTGCATTTCGCCGGGCGGGATATTGATCTCGCCGGGCGGGATATTGATCTCGCCGGGCGGGATATTGATCTCGCTGGGCGGGATGTTGATCTCGCCGGGCGGGATATTGATCTCGCTGGGCGGGATATTGATCTCGCCGGGCGGGACCAGTGCACGCGGGCGCTCGAGCGGCAGCAACTCTCGGCTCTGTCTCTCGGCTCTGTCTCTCGGCTCTGTCTCTCGGCTGTCTCTCGGCTGTCTTCTCGGCTCTCTCTCGGCTCTCTCTCGGCTCTCTTCTCGGCTCTCTCTCCCGCCGGGCGGGAGATGCAGCAGCCGCTCGAGCGGGAGGTGCGGCGGGTCCGGATCGACGGGGAAGGAGGCGCACCTGCCGAGAGAGAGCCGAGATCTGGCCGAGATTGGGCCGAGATTGGGCCGAGATACAGCCCAGATTGGGGCCGAGATGGGGCGTTGGCGCGACGGGAGACAGGGAGGCAGCTGTGTGCGTGCGTGCGTGCGTGCGTGCGTGCGTGCGTGTGTATGTGTATGTGTGTGTGTGCGGATGAGAGAAAGCGCGGGGGCGGGAAGCCAAAGGCGCGCCCTTTCGGAGTAGCGCGAGCCACGCGCCGCACGAGCGCCTCCTGCGGCGCCTGCTGCGAGGCGGCCCCCCTGCTGGCGGCCCCCCTGCCCTCTGCTGGCGGGCGGGCGCAGCCGTGCTGCAGGGCGGCAAACTTGTCTCTGACAGCAGGCGCTTCCATCACACTCCTGCCGCGAGGGAGCGAGGTATTTGGAGGGAGCTCGCTCCACCCCGAGCACGCCACCCCCCCTTCCTTCCCCGCTCTCTCCAACGCCTCCCTCTCTCTTCTCTCCCTTCGCTCACCGAGGAGCGCCGAGCACGCCCGAATCATCGGCGCCCTCGTAGCGGAAGGCCAAGACCCGCATGTTGAACTGGCCGAGGACGTTGTTCACCATGATCTGGTAGTCCTCTTTTCCGGGCAAGATTATGGCGCCTGGAGGCACGGTAGCGAGGCCGTTGCCGGAGGAGTCATGCAAGCGGGGGCCTTTCTCTCCCGGGATATACTGTCCGTGCCGCCTTGGAGGCGCTCGAGTACGTTGGTTTGCTCAAAAGCAGCCACACAGCTCGCGTCGAGCACGGCTCCGATCGAGCGCGCCCCATCCGACAGCACACAATTCTGCGCACCGTCCTGCCGGGCACAAAGGTCGAGCACCTACGAGGACGCTGGGCCGTTGGACGGAATGCGTGCAATACCCTACCCCCGAACCAAAGTTGCCTGCACGTAGTGCGGCTGCACTGCAGCGTTTGGGGCCGCCATGACCGCTTTCTCTATCCAAGGGTTGTTGAGCATGCGCGCCATGGAGTGGTAGGCCCGGCAGCGCCATTTCCAGGATTAAGAATTCAAGAAGCGACTCACTCGTGGCACTGGGCACGGGACTGGCGCGCACTGGCACTAACACACCACTGGAGCCGGAGCTTGTTAGGAGAAGAATTCTACGAATACAAGCCCCTCTCACAGCAGACTGGCACGAACTAGCACCACAAAAGGCACAGCAGACAACGGCCCCTTATGGGCCGTCGAAGAGGCCGTCATACTCCTCCGGCCTCATGAGAAGAAAATACATCGGAGGCGCTATGCGCTGGTCTACCTACCTACCTACTTACCTGGTCTGTGAGAGGTTGACAGACGTGATCTGTGATCTGCTCCACCCAGTCGTTGGTCGGACTGTGTTTCGCCTTCCCATCAATGTATGTACCGTACCCGGCCGGGCGAGAGGCCGCGCTGATCCCACTCCTTACCACTCTCAGGGGCAGTAGGTGGGCGAGCTTCAAGCGCGCTCATCTCGATCGAGAAGGCGTCGCTACGCGCGGTTCCGCGGGGGAGCTTCGTCGACGGGTGGGGGTGGGGGACCGCAGCGCAGCCTCCAGGCCAGAGTGAGTGCAGAGAGGTTCTCGAGGTTCTCGAGGTGGATATCCTTTGGCCGCGTTGGGTAGCGAGGATTGGTGTGACGCGATCCACGCAGGCGTGTTTTCTGGCGGCCGACCGTCAGTGCACGGAGTTGCCCCTTCTCCGACTGCCCCGGCTAGTTCCCGAGGTCGTCGGGTGTGACCCTGCCTGCGTCCCCCGAGACCTAGCGCGGGTGGGTTGCCGGCACCATCGGGCGGCGCCACACGCGACACGGATGGAGGGAGTCGGGTTTGCCATCGGCGGGCCATGAGGGCGCTGAGAACTCAAGGCTGAGTTTTTGCTCCACTTTCGATGTGGCGGAGTATATTTTGGTAGGTTCGATTGACTCGTGTCGGCTGCCCAGATAGCAAGGCCCGAGAGGAAGTCATGAAACCCAGGCAGATCATCCGCGCTGCCGGCCGCGCGAGCCCGGCAGCACGAAGACGCTGCATCAGAATGGGAATGGTGTCCCTATTGCCGTGAATGCAAAGCCTTAATTTTGGCATTGCGATTTGGAATCGGAATCGCGAGAATCGCGAATGGCAGACGCGCCTGGCTGCCAGTGGCCGCCGCGGGGCGGCACGACCCCTTCACGCCATCCAACGTCGGACCCAACACGCCGAGGCAAGCGCGCGCCGACAGCTGCGATCCGGAGACATACTCTCTGTCTTGCCACAACAACGCATACTCTATCGGCTTTACACACCTGGTCCTGCGGCTCTAAACGATTTAAACACAGCTAACCAACCCCAACTAATTCTACAGTCACACTCCATACACACTCACAGCTAAGTGACGTCACACAGATTTCACGTCTCACGAACACGCATACCGGACAACGCGCACTCCCACAAAATACCCCCCTGCAAAAATGTAAGCTGGGAAGGCACCCTCGTCACACACGCCTGAGATCACCAGATCCAGTCGATCCCGTTCGCAAGCGTGATTAGGACCACCGAGTTGCCTCGCACCTCTGGCGGGATGGCGGCATACTGCTCTTCGAGTGTCTGGGCGTCGCGATAAGTGCGCACCCACACGTGAAGCACCTGCTTGCGCCAACGCATGTTGAGCACATTGCGGCTCGAGATCTGGATCGCGCGCAGCTTCTTGAACAGCAGCCTGTACGCGTCCGCCGGCTGCAGCGCAAAGGTGGGCCAGTTGATGGCGCGCGTGACCGAGACGCCGACGGCGTGCTCAAAGAGCGTGACCGAGTAGTCGGTGATTTTTGAGCCCGAGAAGTAGTCGAGCTCCATCTCGGTCATCACGAGCCGCGAGCCAAACAGCCGCGCGAGCACCTCGCAACTCAGCGCCTCGGACTGAAGGGACGAGCCGCCTGCGTTGGGCACCGCGAGCATGCGCATCGCGTCCACCGACCAGCGCAGCTTGTAGCGCGGCCGGAAGGCCTCCACCTGCGTGTGGAGGAGCCCCGCAGCTTCGCGATGCGCGAGGAGCACACGCAGCCTCGACACGCCGTCGAGCGGCACCCGGAGAACCATGTCCTCGCCGACCAGGAAGCGGTGCCGGAAGAGTGTCTGCTGCATCTTCCGCGCCTGCGCAGCCGGCAACACGGCAGGCTTCTGTGTCGGCCACCGCCCAGCCTGCAGAGCAGGCTCGAGCGCTGCCTGCAGAGCTGGTTCGAGCGCCCGCGTTGACGGCACGCGCGACTGGAGAGTCAGCGATGCGAAGATCAGACACCTCATGTGGTAGGAGCACGGCTGGTGACAGAGGCAGTCCGGTGAAGCGTTTGCCGCGGTGATGACGGCTATCAAGATACCACCGGTAATTGAATCTAAAAAAGAATTTTACAACTAAGGGCAAAAGAGTTTGGGAACCGCAAAATCGCTCCTCATCGCAAACCCTGTCAGCAGTTCACCTACGGGTATGTTCGTAAGAGCTACATACACTGAAAATATGGACCGACCAGCTAGTCCCTCTGTGGTGGCGGCGTGCCGTTCTCCCATCCCTCCCTTGCGTTGTCTCTTTTCTTTCTTTCTTTCTTACCAGCTGGGAGCGACTCCGAAGGCTTGCTTGCAACAGCTTGCAGAAGCAACGACTGAGCCGCGAGCCGCTAAGGTGGGGCAACGACCGATCCGCGAGCCGCCCGACATGGTGAATTCTTTTCCGAGGCATCGACTTTGGGTTCATCACGTACGTTGGGATGGAGCTGCCGAGCTTGCCGAGGGCGAGCTTGAGCACGTGCCACATCGTGCTCTTTCCGCAGCCGGAAGGGCCCACCACCACGACGCCCATCCGGTTCTGCGTTGCCTGGCCTCCTCGGACAGTCCTCTCACCAGCACACAGAGTCCAAAAACTCCTCTCTCTCAGAGTCCACTCAAAAGCCTCCATCACGGTCAGCTGAGGTATTCCCAGACTGACGCCGCGTTAGTTTCTTTTTGTGTGTATACCTGTGTTGGTGTGCCAGTGCCCAGTCCCGAACGTCAAAATTCTTTCGGCCAGTATCCCTCCACTGTCCAATCTAACCGCGGGTCGCAGACCGTGCTCTCGGTGTCCGATGACATGGCGCCTCTTCACGATCAGCACGCCAGTCTGTTCACACCTCTCTTCTGTTCACTTCACGGAGTGACAGGGGTTCGTTACCCAGTTTAAGAAAGGCTTCAAGAAAACACACACACAGAAAAACACCGTCATTTACAAACGACCGGAGCCAGCGCGCTTGTGGCTTCCACTCACAAGCACGCTTTTCCACGTCTCCGTCCCCGCTCTACCTAAGGCTTGCCGCTCGAACCAATGGCGGTGGGGACGGAGGTGTCGCCTCCGTCCCCGCCGTGGAGGCAGCGCCTCTCTCCCCGCTCGACCTATAGCGGTCGGCGGACTCGAGTTCGAGTGGGGACGGCGGCTCATATTGCTAAATATAAAATTCCCCCACCCGGGTGGGGGAACATAAAAATACCTCAGGGTGCTGTGCGGGTGTGAATGCAAGAGCGCTGCGCTGAGAACGAGCAGCTATCAAGTGCTCAAGCGCAGAGCACAATTTCTTGGAAAAGAGAAGTGCGATTCATTTAGGTGGCGGAGGTAGGATCCATGTGTGGCCTGCTCGCTGTCTGCTTGGCCCTGCTGCCGAGCTCATCTGCGTTGGTAGCAAGCCCGCGCATCGCGTCGATTGCGAGCGTGACGCGTCGCACAATTGTGCTTGCGGCAGATGCGACAACGGAGCGCAAAGCAAAGCTCGCAGCCTTCAACGCCGAGCAGAAGGCGAAGCGGGCTGCCGCGGCGGCAGCTCGTAAAGGAGGCAGCAAGGCGGCCGCGCCCAAGCCCGCCTCCTCTTCGCCCTTTGCTGGCATTTTTGGCGGCGGCTCGAAGCCTGCGCCGCCTCCGCCGCCGCCGCCTACAAAGGCGGCGCCGCCGCCTCTGTTCAGCTTTGGAAAGGCTGCCGCGAGCCCGAGCGCCGCTGCCACCAAGGCACGGAGGCCGCCCAGCAAGCCTGCCAGTCCGGCCAAGGCTGCACCGACGGGCGGCGGCTCGCCCTTTGGAGGCTTCTCCTTCGGCGGCGGCGGAGGCGGCGGTGCCGCGGCCAAGCCCGCTCCGCCAGCCAAGCCCGCTGCTCCACCGGCGGCCGCGCCGCTCTTCAATTTTGGCGCCAAGGCGCCCGCCGCGCCCAAGCCCGCCCCGAAGCCTTCACCTGGCTGGCTGGCGCCAGCAGCCTCCTCCACCGCCTCCCCCGGCAGCTCGGCCTCGCCCTTCGGCTTCTCGTTTGGGGGCGGAGGCGGCGGCAAGCCTGCGCCGCCGCCCTCGCCTCCTCCGCCGGCGGCGGCGGCCGGCGCCTCGCTCTTCGGCGCCTTCCCGGGCCTCGCCGACGACCAGGAGACGGTGCCGATGCCGCCGGCGGAGCCTGCGCCAGAGGCGGCTGCGGCGGCGGTCGAGACGGACATCGCGTCCAAGATTGGGGTGGGGGTGACGGGCGCAGTCGCCGGCTCCGTCCTCGCCGACGCGCTCGTCTCGGCGGCCGGCGTCGGGCTGACGGGCGAGGTGCTCTCCGACGCCGCTGCAGTCGGCGCAGTCCTGCTCGGCGGAGGCGATCCACTTTCACCGCCGACCCTCACCCTCGCCCTTACCCTCACCCTCACCCTCACCCTCACCCTCACCCTCACCCTCACCCTCACCCTCGCCCTCACCCTCACCCTCACCCTCACCCTCACCCTCACCCTCGCCCTCACCCTCGCCCTCGCCCTCACCCTCACCCTCGCCCTCACCCTCGCCCTCACCCTCACCCTCACCCTCACCCTCGCCCTCACCCTCACCCTCACCCTCACCCTCGCCCTCACCCTCACCCTCGCCCTCACCCTCACCCTCACCCTCACCCTCACCCTCGCCCTCACCCTCACCCTCACCCTCACCCTCACCCTCACCCTCGCCCTCACCCTCGCCCTCGCCCTCACCCTCACCCTCACCCTCACCCTCGCCCTCACCCTCACCCTCACCCTCACCCTCGCCCTCACCCTCACCCTCACCCTCACCCTCGCCCTCACCCTCACCCTCGCCCTCACCCTCACCCTCACCCTCGCCCTCATGACGTCCTAACCCGGACCCTCACCGCAACCCGCACCTCACCCGGACCCGGACCCAGGCGCAATCTACGCCGCCGCTCAGCCAGGCGAGGCGGGCGAGGCGGCGCGGTTCGTCGGAGGGTCGGTGGCGAACGTGACGAGCTCGTACGCCGAGCTCGCGAAGCTCGAGGCGGAGATCGCGCTCGCGGAGCAGCAGCAGAAGGCGCAGGCAGCGATCGACGAGACAGTCGCCGAGATCAGCGCCACGCCCGGCCGGATTGCGGACGAGGTCAAGGCGACGCCGGGCCGGGTGACGCTGTCTCTCAAGCAGCGGCTCGAGGCGGCGCAGGCGTCGGCGCGCCAGCAGGTAGAGGAGGCGAAGCGCAAGATCCAGTCAAAGTGACGCCGCCCCCCGCCGGCCTGTTTGCGGCGACCCTGTGCCCCCTCTGAACCCAATCTCTCCCTCCCTGCGGGATCGACCTGCGAGAGCACCGCCGCCCGAGCCGAGGCCCCCTCTCTTGAACATGCCTCGCCCTATCGCCCGGCCCTCTACGCAGCGCATGCACCCACGGGCTGCACGGATCGCACTGCACAATTCGTGGCATGTCCTTTTCGATAGACTCGTAGCAAGATCGTACTACCCCCCCCCCCCCTGCCCCGATTATCGTGTGCCGTTCTCTCGACGACTGTGGCGGGTGTTTCCTTTTGCTTTTCTTTTCCGTGTTTACCATATGGAGAGAAAAAACTAAAGCTTCAATATGTCCCAGATTGAAGAGATGGACAGCTGTATGTCATCAGGAGCTGAGTCAGCTCACGTCTCACGACCGACGTTCTCTCCGACTGCAGTGTAAACCTACATCTCTCTCATGCTGTCCTCTGGCAACCTTCTGCCTTCGTAGGTGTACACACCTGTCGCTCAAGAAACTCGCCGATGGCGGGGAAGTAGCGCGGCGAGAAGGCGATGTCATTGTGGCCGTGGCCTGGCAGGAGAAGAAGGCGCCTCCTCTGCGCGCCGCTCGCGGCGTGAAGCGCCTTGCCTTGCTCTGGCGGCACGACGGTGTCGGCGGTGCCGTGCAGGACGAGTGTGGGTATGGTCACCTGCAGCGGGGCAGACACAGAATGAGGAGGGGGGGAGGGGAGGGAGAGGTTCGGCGGCGCGGCGCGCCTCCCGCATCTTCAGCTCATTCTCGAGTATCCCGATCCGGCCTCCGCCGCCGGGCGCGAGCGGCGCTGTCGCCGGCCCAGCCGAGCCGGCGGCTGCGAGCGAGAGGGCGCCGGCAGCCCCCCTCGATAGCATGGCCGAGGCGGAGGCGATGCCAGACTCGAGGATGAGCCCTGCGAAGCAGCCGCGCGGCGCGATCGCCGCAAGATGCGTCGCCACGTTGGAGCCGAGCGAGCGACCAAAGAGCACCACTGGGCGGGCCTCCGGCCCTACACCCGCCGACTGCATCGCGGCACCGAGCGTGTGCGAATCGAGGAGCGGCTCTGCGTCGGCGAGCAAGGAGGAGAGGGTTGGCTCGCCGCCCGACCAGCCGTAGCCGCGGTAGTCTGGGACCATCAGGTGGGCGCCGAGCCGGTGGAAGCGGGAGGCGAAGGCGTCGTAGTCAGAGCAGACCTCGCCGTTGCCTACGCTCAGGCGGACCCTCGGCTGACCTCGGGCGATCTCGCGCGGCGGCCTCCTCTCGGCCGTCGATGCCGTGGAAGTAGAGGAGGAGCGGCGCGTTCGGGCGGGGCGACGGGTGCGGCCAGACCCGGTAGCCGAGTTTGACGGCCGGGTCGTGCGGCGCAGCGGCGTAGCTCCCGTCCGAGAAGGGCGCCGGTCGGCTCGTAGAGGTCGGATGCCTTGCATCAACGGTGGCGAGCGGGCGGGAGTGGCCTCTCGCGACGGCGCGCGGGAAGAAGAGGCCCGGCAGCGAGTCCAACTGCGACAGCAGCGCCTCGATGGCCTGCGCCTCAGCATGGGACGTGTCCGCGTCTGCGCCCTGCACCGCGCTGTAGCACCGCAGCGCCGCTGGCAGGGAGCCGAGGGCGGCGAGGATGCGCGCTCGCAGCAGTGGGTTCTCGGAGTCCGTGTTGGTGTCAGTTCCACATTCGCTGTCTATGTTCCTCTCGCCGCCGTCGCCGAGTTGGCGCAGCGCGGTTGCGGCCCACCCCTGTGTTAGCAAGCTGGCGGCATCGGCGTCTGGCGGTGGCGAGCGGGCGGCCTCCCCGCCGTAGAGAGCGAAGCCGCACGTCCCGCCACAGGAGCCGTCTGCGCTGAGCTCCACCGTGCTAGCGACCGGTTGCTGCGTGGGCGACCCGCCCAGCGCTTGCCCACGAGCCAGGCGGCCGAGCCCGTTGGCAAGCTTTTGACGCTCTGGGAGCGAGAGCCCGCGTTCGCCGAGCCGCTTTAGGAGCGCGACCCTCCCAGAGTCGGCAAGGCACGCCTTGAGGCCGTCGGACGTCTCGCCCGCTAGAGAAGAGGCGAGGCCGTTGCTAAGGCCGCAGGCGTCGAGAAGCGCAGCGAGACTGTCAGTCTCGGAAGTGTCGGCCAGCGTCGTGCCCGCCAGCATCGTTTTTTTAATCAAGTGCGTCAAGTTTGAAAGAAAACTATCAGGCCGGGCCGCCCGCGGCCACGACAGCGATCCACACACACATGTCTGCGCACTGGTCCTCCGGCGAGCAGTCCGCCTTGGAGGCGGCGCTGCGGCAGTTCTCGGGCTTGCCGAAGGAGGAGAGGTGGGAGGCCATTGCCCAGAAAGTCGGCCGCAGCCGGCGCGAGTGCCTCGATCGGTTCAAGTTTGTCGCGGCCGAGGTAAAGGCGCGGCGGGAGGGAGCGTCAACCTCCTCCGCTGCCTCGACGCCCGCGCCTGCGCTACCCGATGCGGCAGCGACTGCCCCATCATCTGCGGCTCCCGCGCCAGCGCCTGCGCCCGCTGCTGCGCCTGAGCCGGCAGCGCCCGCTCCAGCTGTGGCGGCGCCGCCGCCGCCTGCGGATGTCTCATCCGCGACGCGCGAGGAGCAAAGGCCTCCAAAGGACAAGCCAGGGCGATCAGGCCGCGGTCGCGGCGAGACGTCGGGCGGTGCCGATGTTGGCGGCGCTCATGGCAACGGCGTCGAGGGTGCCGGGAGGGGTAAGGGCGGCAAGGGGAGGGGCAAGGGCGACGGCGGCGGCAAGGGTGACGGCGGCGGCAAGGGCGGCAAGGGGAGGGGCAAGGGCGACGGCGGTGGCAAGGGCGACGGCGGCAAGGGCAAGGGCGCCAAGGGCGCGGGCGGTGGCGGGAGAGGACGCGGCGGCCAGCAAGCTGGCGGCGAGTCGGCGCCCGCCGGAGGCAAGCAGGAGAGCGCGTGGTGGCGGCGGCTAAAGGCGGACGAGGTGGACATGATCACGCTGCAGCCCCTCAACCGGATGCGGGTCGAGCCCTTTGGACTCAAGGTGGACGCGACCCACGAGGCGTACTTTGACGGGGTGAACCTCGCCTCGTGCTGGACGTCTTCGAAGCGGTTCGAGCACCCCGCGAGTCGGCGGCCGGTGGAGCGCGCAGAGGTGGAGGCGCTGGCGCAGCACCTCCGCACACACCACCGTGGGAGGGGCGGCGAGGGCAACCACGCCGCCGCCCTCCTCGTCGCCGCCTTCGACGAGGCCGAGGCGGAGCGCCGCTTTCGCACCCTCGCCCCGGCGGAGCAGGCGAGGGCCAGAGAGGGCCCGAGAGGACCAGAGAGGGCCAGAGAGGACCCGAGAGGGCCAGAGAGGACCAGAGAGGACCCGAGAGGACCAGAGAAGAACCTCTCGCATCGGCGGATCAGGCGCGCGCCCTCGCGTCGGACGTCGCCGCCACCCTCTTCGCCGCCGGCGGCGGCGGCGCGGCCCCGGCGGCGGCGGCGGCGAGCGGCTCGCTCACCGCCAGGACATGTCCGGGACATGTCCATGATGTGTCCGAGACGTGTCCTACAGGCGAGCGGCTCGCTCACCGTCTTCGACGACGACCTCCTCCCGAGCCAGGGCGGCGACGCCGCATACGCCGCCGCCGCCGCCGTGGCAGCCGCCGCAGACAGAGAAGAGCTCTTCCCCGCACTGCCTGCGGCCGCGCCGGCGGCGGCCCCGGTCTGGGGCGCCCGGATGCGGGCGGCGGCCCCCGCGGCCCCCGCCCCGGCGCCTGCCCCTGCGCCTGTTCCGGCGGTCTCCGAGGCGGTCGCGAGGCGGCGGGCGATGGCGGAGGCGTTCGGGCGAGGGCCGGGCGGCTCCGGCGCGTCGGCCTTCGCGCCGAGCGTCTTCAAGCCGGACTTGCTCGCCTTCGCGCGGCAGCCGAAGCACCGCGCGTTCATGGGCGAGGTGGAGGCCGCGCTCGACGCGTTTGTCGAGAGCGAGAAGCGGAGCGGCGAGCTGCGGCCGATGACGAAGCCGGAGCGCGCAGTCGTGCACGAGGCTGCGGCGCTGTGCGGCACCTCGACATGTCCAGCACATGTGCATGTTGTCCAGCACATGTCCGCGACATGTCCCGCAGGCCGCGGAGCTGTACGGCATCTCGACCGCGTCCAAGGGGAACGAGCCGCGGCGGTACGTCCACCTCTACCGCACGGCGCGCACCTCGTGGCCCGCCGTCCGCCTCACCGACGCTTGCCGCGTCGAGGCTGGCGCGGAGCCTGCCCCCGCGCAAGCAGCCGGCTGGGCCCTCCCTCTCCTCGACGTGGAGGTGCCGCGGGCCTCCGTCGAGCAGGCGCTCTCCTTCCTCGACCTCGCCTTCGCTGCCGTCATTCTGCGCGCGCGCAGCGACGGCGGGCTTCCTTCTGGCGCGGCCCCTCCGCTCTCACGGAGACGACCTCCAGCGCCGTGCGGCTGACGCGTCCACGTCACCTCCGCAGGCACCATCGAGTTCGCGGACGAGGGCTCTGCGCGGCGCGCCCTCGCGGCGCTCGGCGGTGGCCGTCGCGGGCAGTTTCGCGTTGGCGCGCCGTCTTGGGCCGCCGCGACTCGCGCCGCCCCCGCCGCGCCCTCCGCTTCTTCCGCCGCCGCGGGACCCAGGCCAGGCCAGCCGGGCATTGCGCAAGCCGGCCGTGGCTGGGGCCGCCCTCAGCCAAGCTCGACGCCGCAGGCCTCCGACGCTGGGTGGCGCAAGCTGCGCTGAAGGCTCCACCTAGTGTGAAGTGTGGAAGGAGGTTGAGGGCTGCCTACTGACGATAAAATCGTTTCGCCCGGCCAAAGTTGCGCGCTCAAGTGTCAAGAAAAGGCTCTTGTATCGCCGCGCCCACTAAAAAATATAAACCGTACCGTGCACACACGACACAGAGTCCCCACGGGTGGCACCAGAGATCAGACTTCACTCTTCGCAGAGTCTCAGTCGAAGCGTGCCTTTGCGTGCATGGGCAACAATAAATAACATTAACAACCATGACATATCGGGACTTCGCGGTACCCTGCACCGCCTTTGAGCCTATTAGGTAAAAGAGCACCTCTTTTCGGGGTGTAATACTATTACTAAAAATAACGTCACGCAAACACCTCTTGTGCATGATCTATCACCTATGAGAGGCCGAAGAGCCACATACGTGGGTACACCACGCTCTTCACACAAACGGACGTTGAACGACACAATCATCAGCGCTTGATGTCATGCGCGGGAGTCCTTCCTTAGTTGTTTCCCTTTCTCCCGCCCGCCTGCCCGCGCTCCGCCTGCGCCCTCGCACGCGCCGCCTGCGCCCGCTGCTTTGTGCCCCCGCCCGCCTTGCGCAGCACGACCCCCTTGACGCGCACTCCCTTCTGGAACTGCTTCGAGTGGCCCATCGTGAAGTGGGCGCCGCCGCCGAAGCCGCCGTACCCGTGGTGCTGCAGCGCGCGCGCGTGCTTGTTGTCCGCGAAGTCCGCCTTGTGCACGTACCCGGAGGCGAGCGCCTTTGAAGTGCCGTTGGCCACCGCCGCGCTCCGCAGCAGGAGGCGGTGCCGCGCCTTCGCCTCGGCCCGCGCGGCGACCTTGGCGGCCAGCCTGCCCTGCCGCCCCAGCACGCCGCCCTGCCCCGCCCGCCCCACCCAGACCGCACCCCGCCCCTCCTCCGCGGCCGCCTGCTGCGCGCCGGCCCTCCCCTCGAGCCGCGCCTGCAGCACGCTCGGCCGCGCGTCTTCGGCGGCGTAGCTCTGCCGGTAGATGCGGCGGAGGCTCCGCGTGCCCAGCCTCGCGCCGCGCGGCAGCACCAGCTCGCCCAGCTCGTCCACGTGCCCCACGCCGTGCCTCCGCACCAGCCAGAGGGAGGGCACGTCGTAGAAGGGGGCCACCTCGCGCAGCGTCGCCTCGCGCTCGAGGCAGAGGCGGCAGTGGCGCTTGTCAAGCATGTGGCGCCGCACCGCCTCGAGCGAGCGGAAGGTGCGGTCGCACAGAACGCACGCGTGCCGCTCGCACAGCTTGCGCTGCAGGTGCGAGAAGAGGCCGCGCGGGTCGAGCAGGCAGTCCGGCTCTGGCACGTGGAAGCCGTACCGCCGGCCCATCCGGCGGACGTTGGCCTCGAACGACGCGCTCTCCCGCCCGTCGAAGAGGCTCTCCCTCCACCGTGGCACCCACGCCTCCTCCACCTCCTCCCAGCCCGACTCGTCGCCCGACTCGCCTCCCTCTCGGGAGGAGCTCGCGCCCTCCTTCACCGCAGCAGCCGATCGGCCTGCCTGCGCGGCGGCAGGGGCGGCGACAGGAGCGGCGGCAGCAGCGACCGGCGGAGGCGCCGGAGCCGGCGTCGTCGGAACCATCGCACTCGCACTCTCCGGAGCCGGCCCATCGCACTCGCCGGCCGGCTGAGGCTTTGCGCCGCGTGACTGCGCGTGGCGGACAGCACTCAGCGCGCGGTACTTCTTCGAGTTTGTGTAGTTCTCCCAGGCGCCGCGCGACTTGAAGCGCCGACCTGTGAAGCCGCAAACAAAGACCTCTGTCTCCGCCTCGGTCGCGGCGGGGCCTGCAACAGCCGCCGGGGGCGCTGCCGCCACCGGCGGCTGCGTGGCGCCTGTGCTTCGCCGCCGCGAGGCGGCGGCTGCAAGGATCGCGGACGCGGACGCGGACGGAGGGCCCCACTCCAGGGCCTGCGAGCCTGGTAGCATGCTGGGCAAGAAGAAGAAAAACGAGACCGCGGACAAGCATCGGGGGGGGGGATGGAAAACGACCGAAAATCTAAAAAAGAAAATGCCGGCGGCGTCCGCGCGCTCGATCGCCTGGAAAATCCCTGTGTGGTGGCGGCGTGCCGTCCTCCCATCCCTCCCTTGGGCGCTCGATCGCCTGGTCGTACTCCCTCGCCCATCCATGCTCGCGCTCCTCGCGCTCCCCGCCGCCGAGGACGTGCCGCCGCCTTCGCTCACTGTCGCCGACCGCCTCCTCGCGGGCGGCACCGCTCGGGCTGCGGCTCAGTGCGTCATGTACCCTGCTGACGCGCTGCGGACGCTCGCCCAGACGCGCGGCGGCGCTGGCTCGCTCCGCTCGAGCTCGCTCCTCTCCGGCGCCGGCACGACATCGGCATTTGCGTACGGCATCGGCGCGCTCCAGTTCGCCGTCTTTGGCACCGTCGCACCGCTCGCCGGCCCGCTCGCCGCGTCGGTGTGCGGCGCGGCGGCGTCGTGCCTCTGCTCCGTGCCGCAAGAGGTGCTCAAGCAGCGCCTCGTCACCGGCATTTACCCGTCCTTTGGCGAGGCTGTCCGCCGCATCTGGACAGCGCAGGGCCCGTCCGGCTTCTATGCGGGCTGGCTTCCGACGGTCAGCCGCAACGTGCCCTTCGTCGCCGCCACCTTCACCGCCTTTGCGGCGCTGGAGGCCCGCGCGCTGCGAGCGAGCGGCGAGGAGAGGCTGAGGCCGAGCGAGAGCGTCGCCATCGGCACATGAAGAAAGGTCTCCGGCAGCCGCTTTTCTTCTTTCTGTGGTCACACCTGAATCCTGTTCACAGGCATGTCCAGCGCGGTGCTCGCCGCCACCCTCACCCAGCCGATCGACGTCGTCAAGACTCGGCTGATGACTCAGGCGGCGAGCGCTCTGCCGCCGTACGCGGGGGTTCGCGACTGCGCGCTGACGATGCTGCGCACCGAAGGCGGCCCCGCCGCATTCTACGCCGGGCTGCATCAGCGAATTCTGTACGCGGGCCCTCTCTGGGCGCTGCAGTTTGGGCTCAACGTGCGGCTCTCGCAGGCGCTACTCGAGCGACGCAGAGCCGCGGCAGAGAGAGCCGCAGCGGCAGAGAGAGCCGCAGTGGAGAGGGTCGGCCGCTTGCGAGGCGGCAGCTACGCGCGGCCTCTGCACGGCGCGGCGCGGCCGGGCGCGGCTGGAGGGTGGAGAGGAGGGAGGCGCCTCGCCGCCTGCACCGCCCGTCTAGAAACCTTCTCGGAACCGTCTAGGGACTTCTAGGAACCTTCCTACAGGCGCCTTGCCGCCTGCTCCGCCTTGCCGAGGCCAGACGACTTCGCCTCTGTGGCGTCGTGGGAAGAGGCGTATCTGGATATGGCTGCGCTGCGCAGGACACGTCAAAGGACACGTCCACGACACGTCCACGACACGTTCGCTGCAGGCGTATGCTGCGCCGGGGCAGGACGCGCCTGCCGACTGGCTGGCGGAGTACGATGAGGTGCGGCCGCTGGCGGCAGGTGCTGCTGCTAAAATGGCATCATTGTCATTCCTTGTCGTCGACAGGTGCGGCCGCTGCTGGCGGCGGCGTTGCCGGGCCGCGGCTCGCTGCTCGAGCTTGGGTGCGGCACTTCGCCCCTCGCGGCGAGATGTAGCCGAGATACAGCCGAGATAGCTCGCTGCTCGAGCTCGTTTCGCCCCTCGCGGCGCAGCTCAACGCAGCGGGCCGCTGCTTGAGACAGTCATGGCATTGCGTGTTGAATGGTTGTGACAGGCGCAGCTCTACGCCGAGGGCCGCTACGAGCGAGTCGTCGCCATAGACGGCAGCAAGACTGCCATCGCCGCGCAGCGAGAGCGGCGCGCGGCGCAGTGCGGGCGAGAGGCACCAGCCGCCACAGGCCCGCGACATGTCCTGGACATGTCTTGGACATGTGCCCGTAGACACGCAACGCTCTGCACGAGAGGGCTCTGCTACGAGGTGTTGTCTCGGGCCATCCCGGGGCCATCCCGGGGCCATCTCGGGCCAGCAGAGAGGCCTCTCGTACCAGGTTTGCGACGCGCGCAGCACGCCCTTCGCCGACGCCGTCTTTGGGGGCGCGGTGGACAAGGGTTTGCTCGACGCAGCGCTCTGCAGCGAGGGCTTCGACTACGAGGCGGGGCCGCCAGCCGTCGGCCGTCGAGCCCTCTTCCCTGACCCTGCTCGGAGCCACCTCTACAGGCGGGCCTCCTCGCCGGCGAGGTCGCCAGGCTGCTCTCCGACGGAGGCGTCTGGGTGAGCCTCTCCCTCTCGCCGCCGTCGGTGGTGCTGCCCCTCCTCTCGAGCCTCCCGCATTGGGCCTCCCTCGACACGCAGCCCCACCCGAGCGCGGCCGGCGTGTTTAGCTACGTCGCCACGCGCGCGGAGCGGCGCCCCGCTGCCCGGCTCCCGGCATAACGTAAGAAGCGTGAGAAGAAGAAAAGAAAGCCGAATGGCAATCAGAATCACTGATGAGAGGTTAAATAAATAAATAAACGGACACCTCAAGAGAAGAGAGAGAACCTCTAGGCTCTACTACGGGTCTAGGAGAGATGATAAGAAACAAGCAAATCTGCACAATAAGCTATGATGAAAAGAAAGATCGGTGGAAGCCAAAAAGAAAACGGTGCCGGTGTACTCAGTATCCTGCCTGGCGAGGCCGAGACCTCCCGCTGCCACGATGAGCGAGTCCGCGTGGGTGACGCGCACCGACGCGCGCGAACGACCGAGGCGCGACGCTTCCTCGCGGTCCGTACGTGGCTCGTCTCTCGCTGTTCGGGAGCGCTCGGGAGCGCGATCTCGGTCCAGGGAGCGGCCGGCAAAGGCTGCGCGGGTCGGCGAGAGCAGCGGCGGCAGGAGCAGGACTGAGCAGAGCCAGCTAAATCGACGGGTGGAAGAGGCCACGCGGAGGATGAAGGCAGTGCGCGGCGGCGGCGTTGGAGAGGCGAGGGCTTCCGGTGAGTCGGCCACAGCGGTCAAGCGCGGGGGCGAGGACGAGATCGAGGTGGCGCCGCCGCCGGCTGCGGCGGTGGAGGGTGACTCGCCGACCGGCGAGTCGTCGGGCTCGTCTTCGGGCTCGTCAAGTCCGCAGGCGGCGCCGGAGGGCCGGGAGGGGGCGGCGCCGGAGGGAGGGGAGGGGGCGGCTGGGGACGGGGCGCCGAGCCCCCCCGGGGGACAGCCCGCGGAAGAGTCGGCAGCGGCGGACGCGCCGGCGGCGGCAGCGCCGGCGGCGGCAGCGCCGGCGGCGGCAGCGCCGGTGGCGGCAGCGCCGGTGGCGGCTCCGTCGATTCCGTCCGTCTTGGCAGAGATTGCGGGCGAGGCGGCGGCGGCGGCGGCGGCGGGCAGCAGCAGCAGCAGCGGGGCGGGTGTGAGCGGCGACGCGGCTAAGGCGGAGGGAAAGGCAAAGGCGGAGGCGGAGGAGGCGGCGGCGGCGGGAGCCGAGGGCGGCGGCGGCAGCTCCAAGCCTGCGGTGCCGCCGCCGGTGAGCTCTGTGCTGCTCGAGATGATGCGCGAGCGGGAGCAGGGCGTGTCACAGGGCGGTGGCGGTGCCGCCTCGTCGAGGGCCGGCCGAGGGCGTGCCTCCCCTCCGCGAGAGAGGCGCAGGCGGGAGGCCAGCCCGAGGAGGCGGGAGGGCGGCGCCAGCCGCGGCGCCAGCCGGAGCCGACCGAGGTGGGAGAGCGACCGAGACAGGCGCGGCCGCTCCCGCAGCAGGAGCAGGAACGGTTACGCGGGCCGCCGGAGCCGGAGCAGGGAGGGGCAGTACTCGCGGCGCAGCCGCAGCTACCGCCGCAGCCGCAGCCGCAGCTACCGCCGCAGCCGCAGCCGCAGCTACCGACGCAGCCGCAGCCGCAGCTACCGACGCAGCCGCAGCTACCGCCGCAGCCGCAGCCGCAGCTACCGCCGCAGCCGCAGCCCGGCCGGCGAGCGGCGCGGCAGGGATGCTAAGGGCGTAGACCCTAGGGATGCGATCCGCGGGGGCGAGAGGCGCGAGGCGGACTGGGACCCGCTCGAGCACGCCTCCGCAGACGCCCTCGAGGCAAAGGACGACGCCAAAGCGGAAGCAGCAAAGGCCGCGGCCAAGCCCGGGGGTGCAAGCGGCGCGAACGGCGTCGGCGCCGCCGCTGCCGCCCCTTCTGCTGCCGTCGCAACCCCCAACCCCGCCGCCACCTCCTCCACCACCACCTCCCCCGCGCCCGCACCCGCGCCCGCCGCCGCCGCCGCCGCGCCCGCCGCGCCCGCCGCGCCGCGAGGTCCGAGCGCGGCGCAGCTGGCGGCGGAGGCGACAGCGGGCGGCTCCGGCGGCGCCGTGCAGCTGCGGACCGAGGCGCGGACCCTCAAGTCGCTGGGGGGTCACTCTTATTAATTAACTATTAATTAAGTGTTAATTAACCACCGAGGCGCGGACCCTCAAGTCGCTGGGGGACGAGAAGGCGGCGGGCGGCGAGGCGAGCCCGCTCGACGTGGCGTGGTGCTACGTCGCCGGCTCGCTGCGGTGCGCGCAGGCCGCGTTTCTGCTCGAGCGGCAGCAGGCGGCGGCAGACGCGCAGGCGATGCTGCTGTGGGGGTCGGAGCTGCTGCGCCGTTCGGCGGCGGGCTCGCTCGAGCGGGCGGACGAGTATTTGGTCGCCGCTCTCGCGTACAAGTGCGCCTCTGCGTGCGCAATGTGCGTGCTACTTAGCCGAGAGATGGCCGAGAGATGGCCGAGAGATGGCCGAGAGATGGCCGAGAGATGGCCGAGAGATGGCCGAGAGATGGCCGAGAGATAGCCGAGAGATGGCCGAGAGATGGCCGAGAGATAGCCGAGAGATGGCCGAGAGATGGCCGAGAGATGGCCGAGAGATGGCCGAGAGATGGCCGAGAGATGGCCGAGAGATGGCCGAGAGATGGCCGAGAGATGGCCGAGAGATGGCCGAGAGATAGCCTCTGCGCGTGTGCTACGTGTGCGAGTGCTGTCCGCTTGCGAGGAGGGTGCCCCGGAGGCGGCTCCCCCCCCCCCCCCCCCTCCCCTTCCGTTGCTTGCGCGCTTCCCAGGCGCGCCTTCCGCCTCAAGCAGCGCGATTGCGCGAGGACGATCCGACTCGCACGCGAGGAGATCGCCGCTCTCGCGCCGGCGGCGCAGGGCGGCGGCGGCGCGCCGGAGATGTCTCTTTCCGTCTCGTCGGCCGGCCGGCTCGAGGGGCTACTCAACCAGCTGCAGCTCGTGTGCACCATGGTGGAGGACCACGACAAGGCGCAGTCGATGCGGTGCGCGAGATGCAGCCGAGCGACACGGGGCGGGGGTGGTGGGGGACTGAGAGGGTGGAGGAGGAGAAGGAGACGCACCGCCGCCGCCCTCGCAAGCCCGCCATCGCACACCCCCTCTCCAGGCGCGCGCTCGTCAGCGAGGTGTCGGACGAGCAGCGCGCGCTACTGCCGCGCCTCGACGGCGCTCGAGCCTATAGCCGAGATCGTCCGAGATGTGGCTGCCGCCGTGCTCGAGCCCGTTGCTCTAACCCCACCCCCCCTCTCCACCCCATCAGGCGCCTCGCCCGTCGCCCTCTCGGCGCAAGAGACGCTCGAGCTCCTCCAGGCGCCCTCCTGCCCACACACCTCCACACACCTCCTTCGCCGCACCTCCTGCCTCGAGCTCCTCCAGGCGCCCTCCTGCCCACACACCTCCACACACCTCCTTCGCCGCACCTCCTGCCTCGAGCTCCTCCAGGCGCCCTCCTGCCCACACACCTCCACACACCTCCTTCGCCGCACCTCCTGCCTCGAGCTCCTCCAGGCGCCCTCCTGCCCACACACCTCCACACACCTCCTTCGCCGCACCTCCTGCCAGCCCCCCCCCCCCTCTCTTCAAGGCGCTCCAAAAGGCGGTCGAATCGCTCGGCGGGAAGGCCACCGAGCTCAAGGCGACGTGAGCAGACTACCCTCCTCCCCTCGTCTCCCCTCTCCGGGGCGACAAGCGCCGCGCACGCCCACCGAGCCGCGAGGCCGGCCGATTGGAGGCGCCTCCGAGACGCCCCGCCCCCCTGCGCTTGGGCTGATCGTTGCTCGCGCACCTCTCTCGGGAAGGCGCAGGCCCCGTTCTCCCCCCGTGGTGTGTCCATTGCTTTCTTTGCATGTGCCTTTGCAACGGCCAGCGGCGCGACGGGCAACTCCCTTTTGTGTGGCGCAGATGTGAGCGTCAGATATATCGCGCAATTTTGTGGCGCCCGCAGCCACGCGCGCGCAGTTCGGGGATGAATTGATGTGGCTAAAATGATGCTTGATGGGATAGACATAGAGGTTAGAGCGCTTTAGCGATTAGCCTAGACGACCCCTAGTGCCTAGAGTGTAGAGAAGCTCTAGATGTAGATCATCGAGAGACGCGAGCTGTGAGATCCAAAACGTACACCTGTATGTTTGTCTCGCTACGGCAGCAGCTCTTCGTCGCTCAAATCGTCGACGAGCACGAGCTCTTCCCTGGCGCCGCCACGAATCATGGGAGCTCCGGAGGGGTCCGGCACAGGCAGTGCCAATGGCGCCGTCTCAACCTTCGCAGCCGCAGGCCGCGCGGCTGGCAGAGCTGACTGATCATCGCCAGCGCCCTTCATACGCGCTAAGAACGCCCTCTCCTCCGCCTCGAGCTCCGCGTCGTCGATGTCGTCGGTAAAGCCCGGCGCCTCGAGCTTGGTCGACGAGACTTTCTTCGACGGCAGCGCCAACGGCACAGGCACAGGCACAAGTGCTTTGCTGCCCATACCGGCCTTGGGTGGCGCCAGCGGGTTTGTCAGGGCAGGAGCAAATGGATCGACCGGGCGCGGGCCAAGCGGCTTCTTCGCGAAGGGGTCCGAGGCTGGGTTGCTGTGTGGTTTCTGGCCCGAACGTTGCTGGTGATGAGGCTGCTGCGTCGTCGGGCCTGTGCCAAAGTCGAGGCGTGGGCCGGTCGCCATGCCGGGCGCAGGCAAGCAACTTCGGCGCCCCCCATTCCTCAAAGGGGCTGAGCCGACAGGTCCAGCACCGTTGAGATCAGACATCTCAGAGCGAGCAGCAGCCAAGAGGCCGCCTAGGGACCCGCCGCCTGCCATCAAATCCTTGTTGGGCGGCGTCTGTGGTGGGGTCGCAGTGAGGAACACTGTCGCTCCTTGATCAGGAGCCGGAGGCCTGCAGCGCGCGGCCGACGCAGGAGGCTCCACGGCGGCCAGAGCGGACGGCACGTAGGGTGCGCTGAGTGCGACGGCTGCCTCCCAAGGTCCGTCCCCAGGCCCGTCCTCCAGCATCCTGCGCCGTCGGCCCATCCGAGGCCTTGTCGCTGCCTGGGGCGCCTCCTGCGGGTCTGGCGCAGGGGCAGAGCTGGGACCCTCTTCGCAATGGGGTAGTTCCGTGGTCGGTAGTCCGCCTCCGGAATCGGACGGTGGCTCTGCTGATGCCGGCCTCGGTGCCTCCACCTCCACCTCCTTTGGAGCAGCCCGCCACGATGGTGGCGGCTCCAGCGGGACGGCGGCCTTTTCGAACTTGAAAGGGGTTGAAGGCAGAACGCTGGTGCGGACCGTCGCTTGCGCTCCATTCGCACCGAGCGGACCGGCGTCGCCAAATGGGGCCCTCTTCTTCCTTCCAAAGAGGCTGCCGTTGCCGTGGCCACCGCCGAAGGGATGCATCGCGGGCTTGCGCTGGTTGGCTTGCTCTCGGAGCAACCTGGCTCTTGCTCGGCCCATGCAGCCTCGCTGCCGCGACTGTACTAGCACCGCCGCACGAGCCTCTCGCCGCCGCGCCTCTCTCGCCTGGGCACGCTGCTCTCCGCCGTTTGCGCGGAGCTGCGCCACCCGCGCACGGGCCTCCTCCTGCTCCTGCGCGAGGCTCTCCTCCTGAAGGCCCCGGACCTCCGCCTCCACATCGGCCAGACTCGCGCCCACAGTAGTAGGGGGAGCCAAGCCCAGCGCGTCGTACGCCTTGCCCAGCTCGACGCGTCGCCGTAGGATCCCTCTTGTCTGCCGCTCGAGCCGCTGCTGCAGCTTCTCCTTCTCCGCCTTGAGGTCGTGCACACGCACGTCGTGCTTCTTCCTCTGCCCGCGCCGCTGCTGCTTCGCGCCGCGCAGCGCGCGCTCTGCCTCCTCGACACGCCGCAGCGTCTCTGGCGACGCGCAGGCCGGACGAACGTTCTGCAGCGCTCGCTCCCCCTCGTCCAGAGCGCGCTTCATCCGGCCGCGCCGCTCGCAGAGCTTGGCGAACCCGAGGTGCTGCGCCTGCTGCGCACGGCCGCCCCGCACGGTCGCCTTGCCCTCCTCGCGCAGCTGACGCTGCAGCTCGCGAACCAACCGCCCCAGCCGGCTCATCTCGCCTCGCTGCGCCTCGCTCGGGCCCTGCGCTGCCACCCCCTCTCTTTGCCGATCGAGCAACCGCTGCAGCGTCTCATTCTCGAGGGTCTGCGCCTCGAGCCTCTGCTGCAGCTGCATCACCTCGCTGCCCAGCGCCCGCATCTCATCGATACTACTCGACTCGTCGAGCTGTGCGCGCATAGCCGCATTCTGCTTGCGGTACTTTGCTGCCTGCCGCTCGATCCTGCCCAGGTCGGACGCCTCCTCAGCCGCAGCCTTACGCAGCCGAGCCTGCTCCCTGCGCGCCGCCGCCAGCTCATTATCCGCAACCCTCACCTGCGTGTGAGAATGAGTGGCCTCTCAGCACGCACACTCGAACCGCCGAGTTTGTATGTGGGCACGGTGGCACGCAGCTGTCGCTGCGGCTGGCATCCCCCCCTCCTCCCCGCTCCCACGGCGACCCTCAGCCCGGAAGCGTTCTCCGTCCGCGCCCCACTCACTGTCTGATTGCGCGCCTGGCTTCGCAGCGCTTGGTTCTGCAGCGTCAGCTCGTCGACGCGGTCTGGCACGGCCGAACAGGCCATTACGGTTGTTCGGTCGTTGTTTGATCGATGTGTAACCGATTGTTGCTCTCGGTCGGGTCGGTCGGGTCGATAGTGTTAGTGAACTTGGGGTGGGTGGGGTCGAGTGGGTTTTTTGGTGGTGGTGGTGGTGGGGGAGGGGGGGGGGGGCTTTCTCCAGAAGCGGCGGACTTTCTTTCTTTTCGCCGCGTTTTTTATTCTTCGAGCACCTCACTCTACGACTACGTCCAGCAAAGCGCCGCCCAGTCAATGAAGGTCGACACCACCTACGGTGAGGGGAGCTCTCCCAGCGCGTGCGCGTGTCGCCCTCGCCGCCGACGCGTCGCCGCCGCCCTCGGCCTCGCCGGTCGCCGCACCGCGCGCGCCCGCCGCCCGCGCCCGCCGCCCTCGCCGCACGCGCGTGTCCTCACAGGATGCCGCCGCGGTCCTCAGGAGAGCGCTCGGACCGCCACCAAGCCATCATGCTGATGAACGAGGAAGAGCTGCACTCCAAGTTTCCCGAGACCGGTGTGCGGCCTCTTCCCTGCCTGCGAAGGAATTCGCCGCGCACGACTCTGTGGCCCCGCCGTTGTCTGACAGAGTCGATGGCTTTCAACAAAGACATGCGCGCAAAGGACCTCGAGAAGAAGGCGCTCAAGGCGGACCCGCGCACCTCCATCTTTGGTGACAAGAACGGTGTGAATCCCGCATCGCCCCGGCCCCGCGCCGTCGCCTACAAGGCGCCTCCCCCGCCTCCCACACAGGAGAGCAGCACGTCTTCAACATCGGGGACGGGGCCGGCGCGGTCCTGCCCAAGGCGCACAACATAAATGCCACGCAATCACCCGCGCGCGAAGCCCGGCTGGCCGCCCCTTCTCACGCTGTGCGCCCGTCTCTCAAGGTGCTGATGCGGAAGCTGCAAACGATCGAGTCGGGCAAGGCGTTCGGACAACCCATGCAAGTCACGGTCTCCGACGAGGAGAAGGACCGGCTGTACTCGATGGTGCGTGAGGCGCAGCTACGCGACATCCAGCCGCTCGCGGTCACGACCGGCAAGAAGAAGCGGAAGGTTGTCGAGGTCACGGAGAGCGACTGAGGTGCTTCCCCACACACCGTGGCCTGCGCGCTATCGACTGCAGAGCTGAAATCATGTCCGCACGAGCGGGGCTGCGAATGACGACCGGCTTTTGCTTCCAACGTGTCGGCTGGAGGCAGCCCTCTGCGAGAACGCCCCGCGCTTTGATGCGAGAACGGGCGCTGACTCCGCTGAGTTGGTCCTCGACTCGGGGGGGCGAAGAGTGTGGGTACATCGGACAGACAGTGACTGCTCCAAGAGACTTATGCGAAACACGAAACACGAAAAACACGAAATACGTTGTGCCTCGCGCCGAGCTCGAGCGAGCGCCGCGGGCCCCGCCCCCCCCCCCCCGCGCTCACGGCTCACACAGCGGGAGGCACACAGGAAGCGCGAAGGGCACCACAGTGTCACCTGGACACCCTCAGTCTCTGCTTGGCGATCGTCTACTCTTCTCGTTGCGTCTGCCCTGCACCCCGTGCGCCGCGTGCGGTGGCCGCGCATGGATGCCTGGCCCGCGCTCCGCCTCTGGAGCCTGAGCCCTGAGCCTGGTCTGGGGTGGACTCCTCTCTCGTCGTCTCCTGTGCTCGGTGCTCCTCGCGCCTCTCCTTACTCTCTTCCTCTCGCCCGGGCTCAGCTAGTCAGAGAGTGTCGGTCCTCAGGGAGATTCATTGGTGTCAGACCTGACAACTTAGCCCGGAAGCGGTATTCCGACCCGCAGGGGCACGGCGGGCGGCTGGGGGGGGGGGGGGGGGCAGATTGGGGCGCGCGGCCGCGCGCACGATGACACAACGCTTGAGAACCCACACCATTCTGGTGAGCCGCCGAGCATACTTGTGTGGACGTTTCGGGCTCCTATCCCCCGCCCCGGATCCGCACACGCGGCTGGCGCGCGATCGGCAGTCAAGTTACTTGAACCGTTGTTTGGCGATCTCTCGGATCCCGCTCGTCGACTCGCGCTAGGAGGACGCGAGGTGCGTGCTCGCCCGGTCCCCCGGGAGGGGACTGGGCCATTTTTAGCGAGATCTGTCCAGTCACCCTCATCGCCCGCTCACGCCTCCCTCCCGTCCCTCTGCCGCCGTATCCGGTCCTAGCCTGCGATACTTATTGAGACCTCGTGCCCCGCGGCTGTCTCTCACGCGCTCGCAGACGGTCCTATCTGCCCCAAATCCGGGCTCTGAGCACGCCTGCTCCTTCATGTAGCTAGTGCGATGGAGTCTGGCGCAGGTGCGCAAGACTGTCGCCATGGCAGGCGTGGATGTGCGCGATTATGCGGGCGCTCGGCCCGAGGGGGCGAACCCGCGTTTCCAAGGGAAACCAGGCGAATTGCGTCCCTTAATGGTCCTGAGTGACAGTGAGCGGCTCCCCTAGCGGCTCCCACGAGTCGACCCCCCCCAGCCCCCACAGCACCCGAGGCGTCCGAGGTGCACGACGTCGACGTACGACGACCCCCGCGTCCCGCGCGACCCCGCGCTTTGTTCGAAATAAATAAATAAATAAAAACGGACACCTCTCTACTGTGAGATGGGTAAAAAGGAACAGGCCCCCGCCCGTGCGATCTTTGTGCAGGGTTCTTTGTGGGTGTGGTCGGCGACTAGCCGGGGTCGTCCTCCCGATGGGGGACTAGCACTAGCCGTCTTCCACATTGTACCTCGGGTCCCTGCTGCTCCTAATCTCTTCGTACATCCTCCTGCTGATCTCCGCAACGTCCTGCTCCCTCCCTCGTCTCGCCCTGCGCGTCTGCTCCGCCTCCCCGTCGTCTGCCCTGCGTCGTCTGGTGACGGGTCCTCCATAGTCGGTGGAGGTCGCCGCCCTCCTCGTGCCTCTTCCCATGTTCCCAACGTTCCCTCGGCGGCCGATGCCGTCTGGTCCGACTCCGCCGCCCCCGGGTCTGCCCTGCCCTCGTCTGCACTAGCTTCTGCTTCGTCATCACTGGCGCCTCTCCTCTTCTTTCTCCTCTTCTTGTATGCTTTGTACATCGCGTCGATTCCTTTTCGCGTGAGCACCCCCCTGAAGCCCGCCCAGCAGCTTTACCGCTCCCTAAGTCGAAGGAGCATCATCAGTCTCACCCACTTCGCTCGCTGCCCACTGTCTCCGCTCCCTCCCGCTTGAGCCGCCGTCGCGGCCCTCGTTCGTCCCACAGGCTGTTGGCCCGTCCCTGCGTTGCCTGCGTTTTATCCCTCCTCCTCCGCGACTTCCTCAAGGCCGGCCGGGCCTCCTTCCACCCAGCGAAGAGCTTCCTCAGCCACTCGATGTGTTCCTCTCTCTTCATTATGCGCGCCGTAGCCTCATCATTGAGCTGGATCCACCTCTGCACCGCTCCCGTCGCCGCCTCGGCCACGACTTGAGGCTCCATGGTTCCTCGTGACTTAAGGACCACATAAAATATTGAATATATTGCTCCAATAGTTAGAATATAGAGATGCGATCAATATCAATATATATTGCAATAGTTAGAGGGGCTAGGGCTGCTCCCGTGGTCCCGGCCGTTCGTTGTACGTTCGACGGACTGCTGGACGTGAGGACACTATTACTTTTTTTCTCCTGATTTTTGCCCTTGAGCCATGTTCGCTGCTAACCATCCCGGGCGCAACCAGCCGGCAGCCGACGCCTCGCCGGCCCCCAGCCGCCGCAGCCTGGCCTGACGCCACAGTGCTTGAAGGAGATTGAGGCCTGTCATGCTCGCAACTGTCGTGCCGGTCGGACAAAAAAACCGCGAAAAAAAACAGTCCAACAAACAGCTTGAGAATGATCAATACTCTTCAATATATTGTCAATAGTTAGAGGGAATGCTGTCAATAATCAATATCAATAGTTACAGGGGCGAGAATCAATCTTTTATGTGGTCCTTATCGTGACTTTGTCTCGAACACAATCATGATCATGAACGACACGTAGAGGGTGTGGAGGGTGGGTTGAACGAAATCCGGGGACGCGACCCACTTCGCCACAGACGGTCCCGCGCCTCGCCGCTATGACGGCTACACGACCGCGGCTCGTGTGCGTGTAGCCGTCTTTGTCCGGAGAAAATACTCAAACGCGCTCGTCGGTGACGGTGTCCCCGGATTTCGCCGCGCTCGGCGAACCTCGACAGCGCCGCTTCGGTGGCATGCATCAAGCTGCTGTACGGCCCCGGCATCGCCTTCCCAGGCTTAGCTAGACTGAGAGATATTGTGGACATGGTTGGTCTCTACAATATATACACTGACACTCCACCTCCCAGAGCTCGGCCGGCGGCGCGGTGCGGCGGAGTCACAAATCCGACGGCAGAGCACCGCCACCGGGACGCGGTCGGGCGATCTAAGGCCCAGTGAGGCGTATGCATTGCCCATCCAGGACTATCACCTGGACCTATCAACAGGGGCTGGAGCCGAGCAGGAGGGCCCGGCGCACAACCCCTTGTTCAACTCACCCTCCACACCCCGTACCTCTTGGTGATCTTCTCCCAACTCTCCTCTACATGTACTATTATTATATTTAATCCTGCGAATCCTGGTGAGTGGTGATCGCTGATCCCGCTCAACGTCCCCTTTCCCTCAAAAATACACGTAACGTAAACAGACATACCAGAGCAGCACGCCAACAACCGAAAACCGACCAAGCAACCCACGTGCGCAGCGCGCAGTCCAACTCGCAATCCTCACGAGGAGCGCACGGGACCGCACCTGGAAGGTGGAGAGAAAGGACGGAGACGTTGAGAAGAGGGAGAGGGAGGAGAGAGATAGAGTCATCACCACACAGACCAACATGCGACACCTTGCCGCTCGCGCCGCCGCGAGTCCTCGCGTGCACCGGCCGTGCGCTGGCGGCCGGTAGCCGTCGCCCACGGCAGCGGCCTAGCGCGCCTTGAGCCCCTTTAGCTTTTGCACGACGCCGCCGACGGGGTCGGCCTGAGGGGGAGCAGCAGGCGGTGGGACTGGTGAGCGGCGCGCGGAGTGACGAGCGGCTGTCGCTGGCCCGTGCGGCAAGCCTGCTTGGGTTGGGACGGCGACGCCTGGTTGGCCTCTGCCAGAGGCTGCAAGGGGGAGGCCGCCTCCTTGCGAGTCGCCTCCTTCGCCCCCGCGGGGTCCACCTCTTCCGCCGTCCAGCCGCGACGAATCGGCGGCGGGCGCCCCACGTCTGGCGTCGACGCCTTTGCGCACTCGGGCCGGAAGCGGCACATCTCCCGCCAGACGAGCTCGCGCAGCTCGGACCGCTTCTTGCCGGGCTTGTCGAAGCCAAACGAAAAGGGCTCCGGCGCCTCGAGCTTGCCTGCGCGGCACCCGGCGGGCGGTGCCTCAGCGAGGCAGCAAGGGGATGGGGGAGGGTGGGGAGGGGGAGAGGGGAAGGGGCAGCGGCGTGGCTCGCGCCCGCGTGCAGCTTTGTGAGGTAGCTCGAGGTCAGCGCCTCCGCCATCGTGCAGCGCTTGGCAGGGTTCCACACGAGCATGCGGCCGAGGAGGTCGAGGGCGTCGGGGTGCGCGTTCGGGAAGACCTCGGACCACGCGCGGCCGCGCTTGATGGGCAGCGTCTTGACAAACTCGTACGCCTGAGTTCTCGTCGCGGCGATCAGGCTGGCGCTGGGCCCGCGGCAAGAGGCCCGCGGTACTGGGCTGTGAGAGAGGCGGCTGGCTCGGCTGGGCTGTGGGGCGGCTCGCGCCTTGTCGTTTGCGATCCACTTGAGGTCCTCCTCGGAGGGGGTGCCGAGCACGTCGATGATCAGCCGCAGCTGGTGCAGGTAGTCGCGCCTGCTCGGCGGGGCGCGGGCCGGCGGCGGGTGAGCAGGGGGCGGGTGAGCAGGGGGCGGGTGAGACGGGACTCGACTCGAGACCGGCGCCCTTTGAAGGCTTTGGGTCTGGGCGAGGGTTAGCGCCACCCTTCGAAGAGGGTGAGGGTGGGGGTCGGGGTGGGGGTCGGGGTGGGGGTGAGGGTTAGCGGTGTCACCCTTTGAAGAGGGCCTCGCGTGCAATCATCTCTGCAAGGATGCAGCCGCACGCCCATATGTCGATGGCTCCTGCGGGCGGGCGGCGCGGGGCTGGCGGCGCGGCGCGGCGCGGTGCGGGACGGGCGGTGCGGGACGGGCGGTGGACGGCGGCGGGTGGCTCGCCGGTGTAGTCTTGGTTCTCGACGAGGAGCTCCGGCGCGCGGTACCAGCGCGTGACGACGTACTCGGTCATGCACCGGTCCTCCTTGGTGCTCGGGTCGGGGTTGACCGGCCGCGCCAGCCCTGCGGCGGAGGGGCAGAGGCGGCGGCTGAGTCGCGGCGGGGCTCAGTCGCGGCTGGCGGCGGCGGCGCGTCTCGCGCCAAAGTCGCAGATCTTGAGGTCGCAGTTCTTGTTGACGAGCAGGTTGCCGGGCTTGAGGTCGCGGTGGAGGACTGAGAGATGGGGGAGGGGAGGGGGAGGGAGGGGCGCGGCGAGTCGGCCAAGGGCGACGAGGCGAGGCGAGGGCGGGAGGCGTCGCGCCGTGGGCGGCGTGCAGCGCGTGCACGCCGCGCATGATTTGGTAGAGGAAGTAGCGAAAGTGCTGGTCCTCGAGCGGCCTGCAGCGGGGCAGAGGCGAGGGCGGGTGGGCGGACGGGGGAGGAGGGGGAGAGGGCCGGGCGCCGCGCACTGCTTGGAGTGGATGATGTAGTGCAGGTCCGTGTCCATGAGATCGCAGACCAGGTACTGCGGCGGCGGGGCAGAGGGTGGGCCAGTCTGCCACGCAGCACGCGGCGGCGGTGCTGTGCGGTGCAAGCGGTCCGCAGCGGAGCGTGGGAAAGGGCGGTCCACCGCCACCAGCCGATCGCGGTCCGCGTGCGGCGTATGCGGCGCGGCGCACCACGTCCTTCCACCCGTCCTTGCCCTCGACCGGCGGCAGGATGTCGAGGACGCCGAGTACGTTGAGGTGGGAGAAGTGCAGCTGGATCTTGATCTCGCGGAGGAGGCGCTTGCAGTCGGTGGTGTCCTCGAAGGCCTTTGGGATCTTCTTGATCGCCACCGGCTGGTACGTGCCGTTGGGAAGCCTCCGCCGGCCCGCGCACACCAAGCCGTAGGCGCCTTGGCCGACCGCCTTGCGCACCTGATACTCCTCGGTCACCTCGAAACGCATGCCGCACATGGTGTAGAGCTTGGTGCCGTGCTCAGTGAGCACGTACTCCTGCTCGTTGAACGATTTGGAGCTGGTGGCTGCCATTTGGAGCCGAGCAGGGGCCGAGCCGTGAGGACACGGCCTTGAGCAGATCAAACGCGCCGCGAACGTTTTCTTTTCTGAGCTTGCCTTCGAGATGATCAAAGCAATTCGGACATTTTCTTTTACTTACCTACCTCTCGGTTGCAGAGCGAAATGCCGGGCCAAAAATTGCCAGAGACCTATCAGAAAGAAAGAAAGAAAACAGACAACTCAAGGGAGGGATGGGAGGACGGCACGCCGCCACCACACAGGGATTTTAAGGAGACCTATCAGCGAGGCTCTCTCTCTCTGTTTGTCCCTATTTCTTTCTAGTCCCGTGCCCCCAGACCCCCAGTGTAGAAAGACCGTGCCCCCAGTGTCGGGCGAGGGAGTTTTGTTGTAAAATTCTCTTTCTCTCTCTCTTCTCTCTCTCTCTCTCTCTCTCTCTCTCTCTCTCTCTCTCTCTCTCTCTCTCTCTGTATTCTGAACAGTGCACGCCAGTCCCGTGCCCAGTGTTGTGCGAGGGAGTTCTGTTGTAAAATTCTGAACAAAGGACAAAGAAAGGGCGCAGCCGAAAAGAGTGCACGTACCAGCCGCGGGGCACTTTTCCTTTGTCTCTCCCAGTTGCTCCCGATGAAAGGCGGCGCCCCGGGACTGGCTTTTACAAAGCGCCCGAAAAGGCGCCCGCCAAGGGCCGCCATCCTCGCCGCTGCCACACTAGCCGTCGCCACCCCCGCGCCGCCGCCCTCGCCGCCGCCGTCACCACCGCCTTGCTTGCCCCCGTCGCCCTCGCCGACTACTTGATTGCGCCACCCACGCCACGCCACCCCTCGCCCTCGCTGCCGCCTGCGCCGCCATTACCCACGCCATCGACATGCTGTCACCGGCGCCCCCACACTGCTGCCACCCACGCTACCGCCCTCCTCCCCGTCGCCCTCGCCGTCGACTTGCTCGCCACACCCACGCCGCCACGACACCCACGCCATTGCTGCCGCCCACGCTGCCATCATCCATACCGTTGCTGTCGCCGTTGCGTATCGCCCACACACGCCGCTGCCACCCAATCGCTCTATTGCCACCCACACCGCTGCCATCCTTGCCGTTGCCCGCGCCAATCAATCGCCACCCACGCCGTCGACGCCCTCGGCCGCCCAGCCTCCGGGGCACCGCCGCCGCCTGCCCCTCCGCCCCCCACGGCCACGCCCCCCACGCCCCACCGCCCGCACCCCCCCCACCCCTCCGCCGCCCTCGCCACGTCGTTGCCCACGCCGCCGCCCCCTCAGCCCTTACAGCCGCCCTCGCCGTTCGGCCTCGCCGTGGCGTTAGAGTACCCACGCCGCCGCCCAACTCACACCGCCACCGCCCTTTTGCCGCTGCCACACCTGGCCCACATACCGCCGGCGCCCTTGATTAGGCACCGCCGCCGCCCTCGCCACCGTTGCCCACAACCGGTTCCACGCTGCCGCCCACGCGCCACGCCGCCGCCGGCGCCGCCTGTGCCAACGCCACCGCTGCCCTCCCCACGCGAGCACCCACCGACCCACCTCGCCGGCTCGCCGCCACCCATGCTGTCGCCGCCCTCACCCCTCTGCCGACCGCGCTACAACTGGCTAACATCTGGCTTGGGGGTACTCCATGGCTTCACCCGTTCTGCGCCGTGTCTCATTGTGGCTCAGCGCTGTCTCTCAGAAGCAAAGCGAGACGAGTCGCTTGGCGCAGCAAGAACTATGCCGTTGTGAGAGACCGAGTGAGACGAGGAGCGCCGCTCGCTTGTTCACCGTGAGGAGAGGGAGAAGAGTCAGGAGAGGTACGACATCGTCATACAGCAGGGGTGAACATTTGTCTCACGGGTGTCTCAAACACGTCTCTGAAGGTGGACCGTGTGCCACCCTTGAAACAAAGTGAGACTGGTTGCTGTGACCAGGCTGAGACAACACAGAGATTGGTGAGAGTATGTGAGAAATTACTGAGACGCACTTGGGGGACAGCGTTGAGACAGGGACGAAACACCCGTGAGACAGAGACGTCTCACCTGTTCGCCCACTTTTTACATTTTTCGCACACCTCCCTCAATGGGAGAAAGGGGGAGAGGGAGGCGCGCTTTCTAGGCCCTTGGGGGCCCTACCACTCAGCGCTGTGTATGTGCGGGGCGGGGGGCGCGGGGGTGCGCGTCCGTCTCCCCTCGTCTCCCGCCATGTGTGCATGTCTCGCGGGACTTCTCGCGCGGCCTCGCGGCGCGGCCCGGCGGCGGGACGGGGGAGACAGACCGCGCGGCGCGGCGAGTCCGAGAGAACCGACCGAGATAGCCGCGGCGGCGGCGCGGGGCGCGGCCGAGCGGACCGCGCGGCGGTTTTTCGTACAGTGTGAACTGTCTGCGATGTGAGCTTCTTGTTTCTGTCAACCTATCTGAACAACATAGCAGTAAGCGGACTCTACGTACCGTTCGCCACTCTACCCACACTGCTGGCTCCATCCGATGCAGTGTGATCGCCTGGTGCAGGCACAGTTTGGGGTGGCGGTGGCGGAGGTGCAGGTGGCGGCGGGGGTGCGGCTGGCGGTGGGGGCGGCGGCGGCGGCGGCGGCGGCGGCGGCGGCGGCGGCGGCTGCAGTGGCGGCGGCGGCGCCGGTACGGCGCCTGAGCTGAGGCTCGTACGCGCAGTCGGCGCTCGCTCGCTCGTCCTGGCGCTGCGGCGGCTGCTGGAGGGGTGGTGCCTCGGACTCCTAGCCTGCTGCTTTTTGCTGGTGATCAGCCCGCCCAACGATACTGCGCGCTTCATGAGTTGGTCGATGTACTCGGCAAGTGTTTCATTCTCGGTAGCGATGGCGGCATTTGCGGTGGAGACCTCAGAGATCTTTGAGTTCATCTCCTCAAGCGCGCGTTGTAGGTGCAAGATCTCGGTGATGGTAGCCTCGCGCGCCTCAGCCTCGGACATGGCAAACCCGGAGAGAATTTTATGACCTCGCAGGACACCGGGTACGGGACTGGCGCTGCAAAGGCGACGGCTTAGAAGCCGTCGCCCTCACAGATGCCGCCCTCCTCACAGAAGGCGTCGTCGGAATGGTAGTCAGGCGGATGGTCGAATCCGCGAGCACCGTGGTGCTCGCCGAGAGGACCATCCCCATCATCCTCCGACTCCATCCATCCCCTCCCCCCCCCGTCGCTCCCGCCGCGCCCCCCGCCGGCGCCCGTCGCGGGACTTCCTGCCCCCCCCCGCCAGCGCCGCGGGCCGGGCCGCTCCGCAACTCCCCCCAGGAAACAATTCTTAAAACACAAGCCTCCCTCACAGCAAAGAATAGAAGTGGCTGCGTGCGTCTAAGAAAGTTCGTAGAAAGTTCATGCACGCCCTGTGAGCGGGGCGGGGTGCGCACTGTGCCTCTGTGTTCGTGCGTCGCCCATCTCTTCTGGAGATGACTGCTCTATTTATTTATTCTAAGAAAGAAAGTTCGGTAGCATGTTGTGACTCAACGGAATCGGGCCCTGTGAAGAAGGGGAGATAAGGCCAGCGTTTGGGGCGGGAATGTGGGGAGGAAGAGCGACGCGCAGGCGCGGCGGTGCCTAGTACTATGCGACTGCAAACCCGCGCTGCAGCAGATTTTGAGAATGCGCACCGCAAAGGGATGCCAGAAGGACTGAGGCGGTCTCCTAGAGGCGATTGTGTACTATAGATCGCAGCTAGAGGCGGTGGTCTTTGTGTGGGTGCCATCGCACGTGGGAATAGCCTGCAACGCATACGCCGACGCAGTGGCGACAGCATACCTGGGAAATAAGTTAACGACACGGAGGACGCCTCAAAAGTGGTGCGGGACGCGGTACGAACTAGAACATGCATTACACGGCGAGAAGGGAGGCGGCAGAGGACACAGAGAAGAGGGAGATAGTGGACCGACGGACGTACGGGCACATGTCTCATGTGTCAGAGCGCGCACGAGTGGGTGTGCGGACAATTTCGAAAGACAGTGAGGCCGGGATCACACACGGCAGGGGTGGCGGGACGGCTGTCGGAGCGAAGTGGCCGTAGCCAGCCCCTCAAACACCCATGGGACAATAAGATGAGATTGCCAGATATGAGAATGGGGGGAAGGACAGGCGAGCGACATTTGACGACGTAGGGGGCCACAATGTGACGACCAAAACGATCTTGGGGGCCAGGGTGAGACAACAGGTCGGGGTGCCACACGGGGCGCACCACAGGCGTATTCTAGAGGGGGAAAAGAAACGGGGAACGAGGGGCCCCGCCACGAGGAGTGCGTTTTGGGGATGCAGAGCGTGCAAGCGGCTAGGGATGAGGCCGCAAAAGAGGCGCGCGAGTCAAGGAGGAGAATCGGAGAACGGAGAGACTGGGACGACTGGACACAAGAAGACAGTGAGCCACCACAGGCGTCGTTGGCGCTTGGCGCATATACTGAGCGGCAGCTGCGCTGGAAATAAGGAAGACGCGCGTCACTTCATGCGGAAGCTTGACAAACACGCGGCGAGGGCGACAGCAAGAGTCGAACGGGAGGCGCCGGACTCAAAAGACACCGCCACATTCCTGAGACGCGCGAGGGCAGCCTCCTTAAAGGCAATAGGGTCTAGATTTGGAGCGCTCACCGAAGAGGAGTACGACAAAATAGCGCCCGTGATTGCCTGCACGCTGCCCGCACTCACGGACTCCATACCCGAAGGAAAGAGAGGGGAGCTCGCAGGAGAGGTGACGAGTGAACTACAGGTAGTGGGGAAGGCAGCCTCGATCGCCATACAGACATGGGTGCGAAACGACGACAAGACCAAGGCACGGGCAGAGGAGAGAGAGAAGAATATAGGGTGGACAAAGCTCCTAAGAAACTCGCTGCATATAGTAGCGATGAGCTCACTAGCTAGAGCTCACACTAGAGGCCGTCATCGCATTCGCCCTGGGACCCAGCGCTGACTTCTGACTGTCGATGCTGTCTATCCCTTTCTCGACTGTCTGAGCTTGTGCGTCTTGGGCCCGGGGTTGTGTTTTTGTGTGGACAAAGCGCCTGTTCACGGCATGGAGGGTGAGCCACGCTGAACGTAGAGCCGAACGGGAGGAAGCCGGGGAAGAAGA